CTGAGTTTTACATTGACTCCTCCTTTCTGATTGAACATTGTCCTCTTTTAACAGTATTTTATGTTAAAAACATTATCTCTACAATTTTAAATTGGTAAATATTTCTTATTGTGCTGTAAGTCACTTTGTAACATTTGAATATCGTTATGTAATTCAGATTTGTCAGATGAAACAAACAAATAATGGCTTTTAATTGATTAAAATAAACATTATTGTCATTAAAAAATGCTTTGAGTTAATTTAGTAAATAAATCACTTTACAGGTTTTATCTACATCTCATGTCTTTAACATTTATATTTTTAATCAAAAATTATGTTTTGTGTCAAATAAAGAACAGAAATGCATGCATTTGTTTTTGGAAAGAAACTCTGACATCCAACAATTTGTTGTTGTGTTTTGGCTCGTAGAAGTACTGTTTAGTATTCGTGAATAAATAGTGTGAACAATATTCTTAGAGCTGAAATTGGTTGTAAAGAAACTTACATTTAGAGCAAGAAATTAAATTACTGAAAATATATAATTATGGATACTTGAAAAGGCTGATGTTTAACAATTTAAAGAAGTTATTCATTTTTATTCTGGGAATACATACAGTAATGTATCAGTGATTATAACCTCTAAATGTTTAAACTGATGATGTAACAGTGAGCTGGTGTTGAGATCATTTCTGGTCTGAGGGCTCCTCCTCTGGTGGCTTCATGTTACAATGTTCAGGCTCTGAGGGGTTTTTGTACAGCTCTACTGATGGTGTGTGTCACAGTGTGTCTCTGGCACAGTAATACACAGCAGAGTCTCCAGGCTGCATGCTCTGTCCGTTCAGAGTCACTGTGTTGCTGGAAGAGTCTAAGTCGATACTGAACTTGCTCTTCAGTGAATCTTTATAGAATGTAGCTCCAGTGTATTTGATACCTATCCACTCCAGTCCTTTCCCTGCAGGCTGTCTGATCCAGGCTGTGTAGTAGCTGCTAACAGAATAAGAGACCTGACAGGTGATGGTCAGACGTTGACCTGGCTGCACAGTCACAGAGGCTGGCTGTATCAACTGCTCACACTTCACACCTGTGGAGGGAAACATGTTGAATAGTGAGCGAGGTTAATAACAGTGAGCAGTCAGTGTGAGCGTTCTGTCAGTGTCTCTGCCTCAGTGAGACTCACAGGATCCAGCAGCCAGCAGCAGCAGCAGAGCTACAGAGAACATGGTTGGTGTTGAAGGTGACCTGATGGAGCTTCTCTTCTTCTGCTGCAGCTGACAGCATGATATCAAGTCTTTATAGCAGACTGTGAGGAAGTTCACTTTGCATAGAGAGGGACGCTGACAGGCTATAAAAGAGGGACGGACTGTCCTGTCAAGAGTTGTCATTTGGATTTGTGTTGGGACATATGAAATAACATTTATTTTTTAAAACAAGAAATGAAAATGATATTTTTATTTCCAATCAAACCTCAGACAAACAGTATATCTATTGTCTGATGTAACTTTTGGTAGCTGCTATCTGATGGAAGCAGTTTTATTGAGGCGATATTTCTTTCATTGTCTTGATGATGTTGATCTCAAGCTTTTTTGTGATTGTGAGAAGCAGAACACAAAGTTTTGAATTTGCATTTGAACTTGTTGAGTTTTTGTACAGCATTTCTCCTTCCTGTGTCATTGTGTCTCTCGAGCACAGTAATAAACAGCAGAGTCTACAGCCGTCAGACTGCTCCTCTGCAGATACACCTGCTGTCTGTTGTTGTCTCTGGAGATGGTGAACCGGCCTTTCACTGACTCAGAGTAGTAGATGTAGCTACTGCCACTGCTGATATAAGCGATCCACTCCAGTCCTTTCCCAGGAGCCTGTCTGACCCAGTTCATCCTGTAGTCACTGAATGTGAATCCAGAGGCTGTACAGGTCAATCTGTGAGATTCTCCAGGCCTTTTAGTCACTGAATCAGATTCTGTCAGAGTCTGACCATCAACACCTGTCAAGAGGATAAAAACACATCTGGTGAAATAAGCTGTTGACACAATTAAAATCTGTGTTAGATAAAGATCAGTAAAGATGTTGACCTGCCCAGCAGACAGTGAGCAGCAGCAGTCCTGTCCTATAGTCCATCATGTTAAACTGTGTGTCCTCTGTCCTCTGTCCTCCTCTCTGCAGTCACATAAGTAGAGGGGGAGATATCTGAGTTTTGCATTGACTCCTCCTTCTGATTGAACATTGTCCTCTGTTCACACTAATATTTACCTTAAAAAAATATCTCTTTAAATATTGATTTCGTCAACATTTAAACCTGATATAAATGTTATCCTTATATTGCTTCGTTACATTTACATTTCTTATTTAATTCAGTTTCTTCCGATGCAACTTGAATTTCTGCTGCTGTTTATTGAAAATAGGTTTTAAAATTGTTATGATTTAGTTTTATATCATGTAGCGTGTATATCACTTTGCAGGCTAGGTTTGAAATAGACGAAAAGCATCCCATACTTTTTATCAAAGCTGACGTATTGTGTCACAGTTATCAGTACAGCAATTAATGCATTTGTTGCAATTGTGAGATCCAAAGAAATGTAAGTTTTGGCTCGTAGCTCGTACTGATTGATATTTTTAGGGGAATACATCCTGTTACACATCTAACATTTAGAGCAATTAATCTACTGAAACCAATTCAGCTGATTTTATTTTATAAGGTCTACTTGAGAAGTTTAATGGTCGACAATTTGTCATTTGTATTTGTCTTGTATTCTGGGAATACATACAGTAATGTATCAGTGATTATAACCTCTAAATGTTTAAACTGATGATGTAACAGTGAGCTGGTGTTGAGATCATTTCTGGTCTGAGGGCTCCTCCTCTGGTGGCTTCATGTTACAAGTGTTCAGGCTCTGAGGGGTTTTTGTACAGCTCTACTGATGGTGTGTGTCACAGTGTGTCTGGCACAGTAATACACAGCAGAGTCTCCAGGCTGCACGCTCTGTCCGTTCAGAGTCACTGTGTTGCTGGAAGAGTCTAAGTCGATACTGAACTTGCTCTTCAGTGAATCTTTGTAGTATGAACTTCCAGTGTTTTTCACGCCTATCCACTCTAGTCCTTTCCCTGCAGGCTGTCTGATCCAGGCTGTGAAGGAGCCAAGAGAATAAGAGACCTGACAGGTGATGGTCAGACGTTGACCTGGCTGTACAGTCACAGAGGCTGGCTGTATCAACTGCTCACACTTCACACCTGTGGAGGGAAACATGTTGAATAGTGAGCGAGGTTAATAACAGTGAGCAGTCAGTGTGAGCGTTCTGTCAGTGTCTCTGCCTCAGTGAGACTCACAGGATCCAGCAGCCAGCAGCAGCAGCAGAGCTACAGAGAACATGGTTGGTGTTGAAGGTGACCTGATGGAGCTTCTCTTCTTCTGCTGCAGCTGACAGCATGATATCAAGTCTTTATAGCAGACTGTGAGGAAGTTCACTTTGCATAGAGAGGGACACTGACAGGCTATAAAAGAGGGACGGACTGTCCTGTCAAGAGTTGTCATTTGGATTTGTGTTGGGACATATGAAATAACATTTATCTTTTAAAAAAATAAATGAAAATGATATTTTTATTTCCAATCAAACCTCAAACAAACAGTATATTTATTGTCTGATGTAACTTTTGGTAGCTGATATCTGATGAAGCAGTTTTATTGAGGCGATATTTATTTCAGTGTCTTGATGATGTTGATCTCAAGCCTTTTTGTGATTGTGAGAAGCAGAACACAAAGTTTTGAATTTGTATTTGAACTTGTTGAGTTTTTGTACAGCATTTCTCCTTCCTGTGTCAACTGTGTCTCTCGAGCACAGTAATAAACAGCAGAGTCTACAGCCGTCAGACTGCTCATCTGCAGATACACCTGCTGTCTGTTGTTGTCTCTGGAGATGGTGAACCGGCCTTTCACTGACTCAGAGTAGTAGATGTAGCTACTGCCACTGCTGATATAAGCGATCCACTCCATTCCTTTTCCAGCAGCCTGTCTGATCCAAGCAGTATCAATATGACCACTAAACCCTGAATATGTGCAGGTCAGTCTGTGGGACTCTCCAGGCTTTTTAACCGCTGGTTCAGACTCAGTCAGTGTTTGACCCTCAGTACCTACAGACATGTAAACAGCTCATTAGTTTCTGTAATGCAGCCATATTGTCATTGTACCAGGAGCTCTGTCAGAAAAACAGGTTTTGTTCTTACCTGCAGAGTTAATTGACAGGATGAGAAAAACCACCAGATAATCAGGTCTGATCATTGTGAAAGCCAGTTGTCTCTGTCCAGTCTACAGTGTGTATGTCAGTGATTTAGTGTCTGTCCTTCACTCTGCAACACATATGTAGAGATGGAAGAGGTCAGAGTTTGCATTGACTCCTCCTCCTCAAACAGAAACACAGCACATCCCCTGAATAAATATGATGTAGATTTCCTTTTTGCATACTATGATTGAATGTATATATATCCTTAAATTATAAGGTTGAATTTCAAGTTATTTGTCAGTTCCTTTTATTTAAATCTAAATAAGATGTAATCATTTATTCTGCTTTGCACAACATTGGTTGCCCATCCTCCACATACTGGAAACATCATGCATAAATATATTATTGATACCTGCTGTTAAGAAATTAATAATGGGACATGATTGTTGCAGGAATGCTTCAAGACTTTCATAGTATACGTTTAGAGACATTGTCATATTGCCGTTATTGTCATCTGTCTTTTTATCCTCTACTGCCACCTGTTGGTACTTGAGTGAGTAATGTGACTGACATTTCTACATTTACTGTTTATTTTTGCCCATACATGAAAAATACATTTAGAAGATGTTTTTTCTGTTTTATGAGGAAATTACTTTTTTTAAAGACATTTATTTTTTATTATTGTGTTTTGTAACTTGGCTCAGAAGCAACTGTTTTTTTCATTTTCATAAAAACTACAGCAAGGAAAGATTTAGTCAAAGTATAATTATCCTTGTACTCTATCAACTAAGTATGGATGAGGACTGTAGGTTTTTGTACAGCTGCTCAACCAGCTTCAGTCACTGTGTGTCGAGCACAGTAATAAACAGCAGAGTCTACAGCCGTCAGACTGTTCATCTGCAGATACACCTGCTGTCTGCTGTTGTCTCTGGAGATGGTGAACCGGCCTTTCACTGACTCAGAGTAGTAGATGTGGGCACTGCTAGTAGGGTGCATAGTAGCAACCCACTCCAGTCCTTTCCCAGGAGCCTGTCTGACCCAGGCCATCCAGGAGCTACTGAATGTGAATCCAGAGGCTGTACAGGTCAATCTGTGAGATTCTCCAGGCCTTTTAGTCACTGGTTCAGATTCTGTCAGAGTCTGACCATCAACACCTGTAAAGAGGATAAAAACACATCTGGTGAAATAAGCTGTTGACACAATTAAAATCTGTGTTAGATAAAGATCAGTAAAGATGTTGACCTGCCCAGCAGACAGTGAGCAGCAGCAGTCCTGTCCTATAGTCCATCATGTTAAACTGTGTGTCCTCTGTCCTCTGTCCTCCTCTCTGCAGTCACATAAGTAGAGGGGGAGATATCTGAGTTTTGCATTGACTCCTCCTTTAACTGTGTGTCCTTTTGCAAGGCCATTGATAAAGCGCCAGAAAGTAGACTTCATGTAAAGTACGAGGAAACCCTCTCCTTGCTATACAGATTGAGGGGTAGTCCTTAACGTTTGATGAAATTTGGAGAATGAATGTTTAAATGTACAGCAATCACTCTCCATGTAGAAACAAATATGTGTTGGTGCATGTGTTGGATGATGGCAGAGAGACCCACCTACACTGTGTGCACACGTATTAGGCAAGTTGTACTTTTGAGGATTCATTTATTATTGAACAACTACAGTGCTCTCGGTGCATCACACATGTTAATAAACCTCAAATCTGGATATTTAAGAAAGTAAAAATGAGGTTTTGCCTTTTATAGGATAACATATGTGTGTACAATTATTGAGCAACTATTAGTGTGCAAACTTATTATGCAACTAAATAAAAAAACTAAAATGCTCCCGTCTCACTTTTTTATTTTCATCTGTTAAAGAGAGAATAATAAAACAAATAAAAATAATGGTGTTCTTGAAAGATGCAGACTTTTCCTGTACCACTTTCTTCTGACCCTGTTAACTATTTGCACCAAACGTTTGAAGGTTATGTGATCACGCCCAAATATCTGAGCAATCTCAAGAGTGCTGCATCCCTCTGAAATACTTTTTACAGTTTTGACTTTTCAGAGTCAGTTAAATCTCTTTTTTGACCCATTTTGATTGAGACAAAGGAACTGACTTATAATTGTGCACACCGTGATATAGGCCACACCCTCCCTCATTAGACATCAGCTGATTTTAATCTCAATGAGACTTTTACCTGGTTAAATAACGGAGATATATATATATATATATATATATATATATATATATATATATATATGCTTAAATCCAATACGCATTCAAGTTTATACAGCTTGGAGTTACGAAATATTATGATATGGTCAAAATACTCACTTCAAACAGATAAAGCTTCCCTGATGATAATGTTTATGATATAATGATGATTGGTGTACAATCAGAAAAGTAAAACGATGTGTATTAATCTTATCAAAGTGTGCATTCATTAATGTACTTCTAGAGATACATGGGCACAGTTTAACCATACTGAATCAGATAAACAGCTGCGTTGTTTGAAATGGGACATTTTTATATTATCTATGATACATTTAGTTGGAGGCACAAAAGACACAAAAATACTTTTCTTCAAAACATACAAATTATCTGTTAGAATTCACTATATTTCTTTAGGTTTCAACTGAAGTAAAAATTGCGTCAAATGAGATAAAATAGGAAGTCAATATTCAGTTACTCAGTATTTCAATATAAAGTGAATGCTCTCATAGGTGGTGGTAAATAGAGGAAGTAGTTTGTGTACGACTCTCCTGTTTCTGTCTCTCACTGTGTCTCTTCTGGCACAGTAATACACTGCTGTGTCCTCGGCCTTCAGACTGTTCATCTGCAGATACACTTTACTGCTGGAGTCATCTCTGGAGATAGTGAATCTACCCTGGACCGACTGGGAGTAAGAGGTAGAAGAACTGCCAGTGTTTATATAAGCGATCCACTCCAGTCCTTTCCCAGGAGCCTGTCTGACCCAGTTCATATGGTAGCTACTGAATGTGAATCCAGAGGCTGTACAGGTCAATCTGTGAGATTCTCCAGGCCTTTTAGTCACTGGATCAGATTCTGTCAGAGTCTGACCACCAACACCTGTCAAGAGGATAAAAACACATCTGGTGAAATAAGCTGTTGACACAATTAAAATCTGTGTTAGATAAAGATCAGTAAAGATGTTGACCTGCCCAGCAGACAGTGAGCAGCAGCAGTCCTGTCCTATAGTCCATCATGTTAAACTGTGTGTCCTCTGTTTTCTGTCCTCCTCTCTGCAGTCACATAAGTAGAGGGGGAGATGTCTGAGTTTTGCATTGACTCCTCCTATAACTAAGTGTGTGTGTTTAAAAAAAGACTTCATGTAAAGTATAATGATTGTGATTGCAAGAGGGACTCACCTAGGCCTACATCCAATATGACAATAAATTAAATTAATTAACTAACCATTAATCTCAGGTGTTTTTGATTTAAATTGGGTTAGATCAGAGCTGCTTCTTTATTTATTTCATTTCATCGTTTATTTGAAGAGTGCATATTGATGAACATTTAAGACAAATAATGCTTTAAAACGTAAACATGCCGGATTTTAGCTTTGAGCTCATTTCCGTCCGTAGTCCCTCACATACAACATTTAAGAACATGACATTTATATACATAGCAAAAATAAATACATGATATGCAGAAAGAGCATGAGCAGCATATACAAGCATTAACCACATGGCAGTACAATGTAGCAGCTACGATATATAAAGTGCAAGAGAAGATACAGGAGCTACATCAAGTGCAAGAGGAGGGAAACATTGTTAATAAATATTTGTTATTGAATCAACTTCTCAAATGTGTTTACGGTGGATTAAAGTTAGCCAGTTAGCTGACTGGAATCAGTTGTTTATCTCCAGGGTTAAATATAGAATTTGCTTCATTTGGTTGTGGTTATGTTACAGTAATGTTTCAAATTCAAACAGATAAAACTTTCCTGATGATAATGTTTATGATATAATGATGATTTGTGTTCAATCGGCAAATCTAATAGATGTTTTTTAATGCTTAATGTCATCAAAGTGTGCTTTCATTAATGTACTTCTAGAGATACATGGGCACAGCTTAACCATACTGAATCAGATAAACAGCTGCGTTGTTTGAAATGGGAAACCTTTCATATTTTTTATATATTATCTGTGATACGGGACTGCGGATGGAAATTAGCTTAAAGCTCAAATCCGGCTCATTTACGCTTGGAAGCATTTTTTTGTGTTAAAGTGTTCATTGATGTGCACTGTCCCGGTTCCAATAAACGATTAAATGAAAATACATTTTGATCGAGGCACAAAAGACAAAGAAATACATATTTTCTGTTTAAATTCACTATATTTCTTTAGGTTGCAACTGAATCAAACATTGCGTCAAATGAGATGAAATAGGATGTCAATATTCAGTTACTCAGTATTTCAATATAAAGTGAATGCTCTCATGGGTGGTGGTAAATAGAGGAAGTAGTTTTTGTACGGCTCTCCTGTTACTGTCTCTCACTGTCTCTTCTGGCACAGTAATACACTGCTGTGTCCTCGGTCTTCAGACTGTTCATCTGCAGATACACCTGCTGTCTGCTGTTGTCTCTGGAGATGGTGAACCGGCCTTTAAATGACTCAGAGTAGTACGGGGTGCTACCAGTGTCGAAATAAGCGATCCACTCCAGTCCTTTTCCAGGAGCCTGTCTGACCCAGTGCATGCCGTAGCTAGTGAATGTGAATCCAGAGGCTGTACAGGTCAATCTGTGAGATTCTCCAGGCCTTTTAGTCACTGGTTCAGATTCTGTCAGAGTCTGACCATCAACACCTGTCAAGAGGATAAAAACACATCTGGTGAAATAAGCTGGTGACACAATTAAAATCTGTGTTAGATAAAGATCAGTAAAGATGTTGACCTGCCCAGCAGACAGTGAGCAGCAGCAGTCCTGTCCTATAGTCCATCATGTTAAACTGTGTGTCCTCTGTCCTCTGTCCTCCTCTCTGCAGTCACATAAGTAGAGGGGGAGATATCTGAGTTTTGCATTGACTCCTCCTATAACTAAGGGTGTGTGTTTTTTTCAGAATAGTTTTGCAAGGCCATTTATAAAGTGACAAACAATTGACTTCATGTAAAGTATAATGATTTTGATTGCAAGAGGGACACAACTAAGCCTAATCCAATACGACAATAAACTAAATTAATTAATTAACCATTAATCTCAGGTGTATTTGATTTAATTTGGGTTAGAGATTAGATGATCAGAGCTGCTTCTTTAAGGGAAACATTATTAACATTTGTTATTGAATCAACTTCTCCAATGTGTTTACGGTGGGTTAAAGTTTGCCAGTTAGCTGACTGGAATCAGTTGTTTATCTCCAGTGTTAAATATAGCATTTGCTTCATTTGGTTGTGGTTATGTTACAGTAATGTTTCAAATTCAAACAGATAAAACTTTCCTGATGATAATGTTTATGATATAATGATGATTTGTGTTCAATCGGCAAATCAAATATTTTTTTATGTAATCAAAGCGTGCATTCATTAATGTACTTCTAGAGATACATGGGCACAGTTTAACCATACTGAATCAGATAAACAGCTGCGTTGTTTGAAATGGGACATTTTTATATTATCTGTGATACATTTTGTTGGAGGCACAAAAGACACAAAAATACATATTTTTCTGTTTGAATTCACTATATTTCTTTAGGCTGCAACTGAATTAAACATTGCGTAAAATGAGATGAAATAGGATGTCAATATTCAGTTAGTCAGTATTTCTAAAAGAGATACTGAAGAAAGTTAATATTCCCATAGGTGGTGGTAAATAGAGGAAGTAGTTTGTTATTCTCCTGTTACTGTCTCTCACTGTGTCTCTTCTGGCACAGTAATACACTGCTGTGTCCTCGGCCTTCAGACTGTTCATCTGCAGATACACTTTACTGCTGGAGTCATCTCTGGAGATAGTGAATCTACCCTGGACCGACTGGGAGTAATAGATCGGAGTACTATTTGTGCTGATATAAGCGATCCACTCCAGTCCTTTCCCAGGAGCCTGTCTGACCCAGTGCATGTAGTAGCTCCTTAATGTGAATCCAGAGGCTGTACAGGTCAATCTGTGAGATTCTCCAGGCCTTTTAGTCACTGAATCAGATTCTGTCAGAGTCTGACCATCAACACCTGTCAAGAGGATAAAAACACATCTGGTGAAATAAGCTGTTGACACAATTAAAATCTGTGTTAGATAAAGATCAGTAAAGATGTTGACCTGCCCAGCAGACAGTGAGCAGCAGCAGTCCTGTCCTATAGTCCATCATGTTAAACTGTGTGTCCTCTGTCCTCTGTCCTCCTCTCTGCAGTCACATAAGTAGAGGGGGAGATATCTGAGTTTTGCATTGACTCCTCCTATAACTAAGTTTGTGTGTCTTTTTAAGAATAATTTTGCAAGGCCATTTATAAAGCGACAAAAAATAGACTTAATGTAAAGTATAATGATTTTGATTGCCAGAGGGACACACCGAGGCCTACATCAAATACGACAATATACTTAATTCATTAACTAACCATTAATCTCAGGTGTATTTGATTGAATTTGGGTTAGAGATTAGATGATCAGAGCTGCTTCTTTAAGGGAAACATTATTAACATTTTTTATTGAATCAACTTCTCAAATGTGTTTACGGTGGGTTAAAGTTTGCCAGTTAGCTGACTGGAATCAGTTGTTTGTCTCCAGTGTTAAATATAGAATTTGCTTCATTTGGTTGTGGTTATGTGACAGTAATGTTTCAAATTCAAACAGATGAAGCTTTCCTGATGATAATGTTTATGATATAATGATGATTTGTATTCAATCGGCAAATCTAATAGATGTTTTTTTATGTAATCAAAGCGTGCATTCATTAATGTACTTCTAGAGATACATGGGCACAGTTTAACCATACTGAATCAGATAAAGAGCTGCGTTGTTTGAAATGGGACATTTTATATTATCTTTGATACATTTTGTTGGAGGCACAAAATACACAAAAATACATATTTTCTGTTTGAATTCACTATATTTCTTTAGGTTGCAACTGAATTAAACATTGCGTCAAATGATATAAAATAGGATGTCAATATTCAGTTACTCAGTATTTCAATATAAAGTGAATGCTCTCATGGGTGGTGGTAAATAGAGGAAGTAGTTTGTGTACGACTCTCCTGTTACTGTCTCTCACTGTGTCTCTTCTGGCACAGTAATACACTGCTGTGTCCTCGGCCTTCAGACTGTTCATCTACAGATACACTTTACTGCTGGAGTCATCTCTGGAGATAGTGAATCTACCCTGGACGGACTGAGAGTAATAGATATGAGAACTGCCTGTGTGTATAAAAGCGATCCACTCCAGTCCTTTTCCAGGAGCCTGTCTGACCCAGTTCATCCTGTAGTCACTGAATGTGATCCAGAGGCTGTACAGGTCAATCTGTGAGATTCTCCAGGCCTTTTAGTCACTGGTTCAGATTCTGTCAGAGTCTGACCATCAACACCTGTAAAGAGGATAAAAACACATCTGGTGAAATAAGCTGTTGACACAATTAGAAGCTGTGTTAGATAAAGATCAGTAAAGATGTTGACCTGCCCAGCAGAAAGTGAGCAGCAGCAGTCCTGTCCTATAGTCCATCATGTTAAACTGTGTGTCCTCTGTCCTCTGTCCTCCTCTCTGCAGTCACATAAGTAGAGGGGGAGATATCTGAGTTTTGCATTGACTCCTCCTCACAGGGTTTGTAAAAAATATCAACTCTCCATCTCAGCTCTTTAGACTTTTCTCTTAACTAGTTATACATTTTGTAGAATGTCTATCAGTATAGCTCTAACATAAAAAACAAATGTATTCTAATAATACACAGATGATTATGTTTGCTCCGACTTTTGACAAGTATATACACAAATTATTCAAACCTGTGAAATCATAATTTATATTTATCACATTAACCTAAACAAATTCTATATATATATGAGATCATTCATGTTGGTATCAATGCTCTGTTTCACATAAGTCACTTTGATCATAATGGAAGCATATTTACTATAATCTAAATAATCTACAATATTATTCTGATCACTAATATATAGTAGTGTTTAGGAAATGTGCTTTATTCTCCTCTCACATTTCACTTTTCTAATAATCTAGTCACCCAGCCAAGCTCTCTGTCTGATCAAATATTGTTTTTCAGCTTGTTTCTCTTTTCATATTCAATGTAATTTGTGGCTTGTATTCACAAATATAACATGTGTTATTTAAAATAAAATAATGAGATATCATGAGGGACTATCTGGTGATTAATGGGAAATACATATAAATCTGATGGGGATACATCATCCAAGTGTTATTGCAATTTTAGAGAAAACCCAGAAGTGTATGGATCACATTGCTTTGTGGTTAGTGGAGGTTTTTGTGCAGCTGCTCCACTGTCTTTAGTCACTGTGTGTCACGAGCACAGAAGTAAACAGCAGAGTCTCCTGCTGCCAGGCTGCTGACCTCGAGGTACTGAGTGCTGCTGGGTGTGGAGGAAACTTCTGTGTAGCAATGCATGGAGTCACCGACTCAGGAAGGAGACACGGTGAGAGTTGGAGCTTTGATGTCAAACACTGATGGGTTTATTCAGAGTATTCGGCCGGAGGATTCACATCACAAATCAAAGAGTCAGAGGTTCTGACTACACGGTAGAGTTGCCACGTCAATTCTGAAGAGCCTCTCTCTATGCTAGACCTTTTAACAGGTTCACAGAGAGAAATCAACATCTCTGAAGGAGTAGAATAAACAGCTGGGAACACTGAGCCACCCGCGTCCGACACTCATGGCCTCAAGGATTTCACATCCTAGAGTCCACAAACACAGATAAAGAAGTGCCTCAGCGTTCTCACAACAATTACCATTCGTGCCAGACAAGTTGACCGGTCACAAACTGGTGACAACAACACATATGGCACCAAGGCCTTTCCTTAAAGGAGATAACAGACGTCAGAGTAGATCATAAAACGTCACAGAGCAAAAGGTTAGATATCTAGAAGAATTATTCCTTAACAGTTCCTCTCTTTTTATCATTTTTGATAACCTTAAAACATTAGTCTAATAATAATTCTGGTCAATACTTAAATCAATAGGCGTCTTCAGATTCGAGTGTGGTCTCACCTTACATTCAATTACATCACAAAGTAGAATAAGATTGAAACATTCAATCACAATGATTGATACAGCCAATCATAATAGGAAAAATTATCTCTCATCCGTGTTTGGAGCATCTTTTGTCAATAAGCACAATAATGAGCACACATAAAACACAGATACATAATAGCAAAAATATTTGTTTTAAACTAATATCTTTTATCATTTAAACCATTAGTTAATGTCATTTATCAAACTATAAAATCAAAACCAGCAGCAGCTTAAAGATTTGCTTTAAGGCAATCACTAGTCAAAAGCATTTAAAACTTAGGATCATAAGAGATCCAGCTAAGGCATAAATTCACAGTGGTGATTTGATCAATCTGTAATCGGCAAAGTTGCAGTGTCTTCAATTTTAGGATTACTTTACGTTTACTTAATTACGCTTTAGCTAAGAGTAAGGCACTTAGTCTTAGTAAAATCAATACATTCATTTTAGTCAAGTACATTGTTCAAAATCTGAAAAGGAAAAGTTAGGCAAATATTCCTTAATTAAATACATTTGACATTTAGCTTGAGCTGGTGAAGTGAACTCAGAGGGAGAAAGTCACAGCTTTTGTCTATAGCTTTAACTCACACCACCGCCGTCTCTATTAAAAACGAGACGGTTTAAAAGCACTCTCGTGGCTTGTGGCCGTTTACGACGTGCGGGCAAGTGCGAGGTGTGTGCATTACCTGATGCGCCACAGCTCCCTACATTGCTGGAGGAGCTGGTGCCGGACCGGGGTGCATACATAAAATTATAGGCTAATTGATCATGGGTGGGCAGTTGCATGCAAGTGTAGAACAAAACTGTCTTTCATCGTTGTGATGAACATGATGGCGTGTGTATAGGCTGGTCGAGTAGGACTACAATTAACTGTGTAGTTTCGGATAGAAAGGGTAGCGGAGAAAAAAGTCTATGCGCTCCAGATCGGGGGGGCATAGCACCACTAGAACAGGGTAGTGGGGTCGCAAGAGGATAAGATAGTTATTGCTCTTGGACGGTCTTCAGGCACCGATCTAGGACTTGTATACAAGGGTGCGTGCGCGAGTCAAGGTGCCCCACTGGATTCCCAATTGAGGGAGAGATAATTCCCTACCCCCTCTGAAACCTCTTTAATCCGGACTAAATTGAGCTGGATGAACTTTGCTGTCACGCTGGTGTTTATTATGAGTTCATGTTTGTTCGTCTAATTGCAGTGTGGTTTTTCTTGTACTAACCGCCGTCTTGTGCATGTTTTGTAACAACTAATAATGAATCAGTCCATAGCCAGGGTAAAATAAACTAAGCTTTAGTTTATTCAACAAAAGTAAATGACTTGAGAAAAATAAATAATATATAGTGTTTTGCAAAATTCTGGTAGTATAGATGTGCTGCAAAATGAAAATAAATGGCAAAAGAGTGTTTTATGTCCTGCATCTGAGTGTGCAGAGGAAATGTAAACAAGAAGCACACTGTTCAGGGTGTGCGCTGTAGGTGTAAGAAGAAAATAAGATTATATTATTTTAAGAATACATTTTAAATTGTATTGCTGGTATGTTAAGATATGTTTGTGACCTTTTATAAACCCTATGCCCCGTCCTGCACCCTGAGACCCTCAGAGGCATCACTGCTGGTCGTAAAAACCTGCCTGAGGAGGTCAGGGTGGCAAAATCTGTCTGCTGTTTTAGGTCAATGTTGTATTATTTGTATTATTTGTTTCATTTATTCTTAAATCTATGTATTGTATGGTAATAATGAAAAAAACGTAATGTATTGAACACATTCCGAAACAAAGCTGATAAGACAGAACTAGACTCAGACATAATATAAATTATTGTTGAAACATTTTGCGCTGTTGCTGCAAAATGGAAACTTTGTTGATTGTCTGTTCCAACTGGCCACTGGAATCAGATAATTAATATAAGTTGAAGTTTAATTACAGTTTTAAATATAGTTTAACATTCTTTATTAAACTGCTTCAAATGATTTCTCGTATCAACCAATTGGTCTCCATAGACATTAATACAATTCTAATAGTTGTTAAACTACTGACAAGTTTTCTGAAACCGAGCTTATGAACAAAATAGTAAAGGTCGCTGGTTAAGCCAGGATCAATATATTTGTTGAAGTTTTTATTGTGTGCATAATAAATGTGTTAAATGCAATTTTTTAGAAAGTATAAGGTTGCAATCTCTTTACAATAAGTAATTACAGTTAAAAAAAATAGCTGTTGTTTTCCAAGGGCCTCTCCTTCACAGCCCTACACTTTAAATCATGAGACTTTCAAATCATAACAGACAGAGATCGGTATCACTTTGTGTTGCAAGCCAAATCCATGTAAAGGTTCTACTTGAGCCCAATTTAAATACCATAAAGAAAGTATTGAACCCAGCTCAAGCTAAATGTCAAATGTATTTAATTAAGGTGCAAGTCTTTTGATTTATTTAAAATGTTCTAATCTAGCTTCTTTCGAGTTCAGTCTAAGCAACAAATTGTTTCTCATAACATTCTCACTGCTGTCCCAAATGTTTTAACCTTGGGCAGACAAGCTGTTCACACACCCACACACTTTGGATAAGTAGTCACCTTATCCATATTGTAAATTGTTGCCTTCTTTAAAGTTATTAGTAATTTAAGATCATCTTCAGTCTTCAGTCATGGTGAAGCAGCTTTGAAAGGAGCTGCCATAAGTAGGAGAGTTTGAACCTGCGTTCATCCTCCCAACCCACTCCAGAGCTTGTCCTGGCCTCTGTCTGATCCAGTGAATATAATAATCTGTCATTGTAAAACCAGATGTGATACATGACATCTTCACTGTCCCTCCAGGTCTTTGCACCTGAGAGGAGGACTGCTCCAGTTTGATCTCACTCCAGACTCCTGTAAGTAAATCATTTTTGCTCATTATCCAACATTTTACCAAAGAAATACAAAAAAGAAGTAAATCAGAAGTGATGTTTCTCACCATGAATAGTAACTAAAAATAATAAACTCCAGATAATTGTCCTTTCCATTATTTGAGAGACACTGTCAGTGCTTTCTGATCTGAGTGTTTCAGAAACATATAACACTTCTCTGGTGTTCTGCAACAAGTCGCTGATGGTGTGTTTTAAAGAGAGGAAGAGTTTGCCTCGACCTCCCTCTACAGATTCAAAAAGGAACATGTGACATCAACATTTCCATAAGCAGAGTATCTCTACGACTGTTATTTTATATTCCAGTAGATGAAAACAGAAACACAGAAAATGTGTTCTATATTTAACAGGCATCACAATGCACACAACACATTTAGTATAAATTCAATTGGTCATATGTGTTTTTCATTTGTGCAAAATGAATTCTCTCTCAGTCTCTTCTATACTGATCTTGGCTGCAGTGGAAGTGAAATAATATTACACAGACATTTAAAGAACTTATCAGAGAGTGAGGTGTGTATCATTGTTCACATTTATACTCTGTGTGGTTGAGTCACATGGTTGCTGAGTATTTGTGCAGGTCTGCTGGTGGTTTGTGTCACTGTGGGCTGACGTACAAGGTTGAGCAAACACGATTTAGATTATAAAACAAACTTTTCGATAGTTTTATGAAAATATGAAGTTGGATCAAAACTATTCATTCTTCTCCTAATCCAGTTATGACACTGATAAAGTTGTCTTTTACATATGTTATTGAATAATTATTTAATAGTAAATGTCTTTTAGAGGATCCCATTCTACTATAGAAAGGAATCTACTGTATTATCAGACACTTTTAAAACAAACTTATGGTCTTACTATCCCTTTTAGATGTTATACCTAGAATGATATACAGTATCAGTGATTGTAATGTCAGATTGTTTAAATAGGTGAAAACCCTTTCTGTTGAATTAAGTTAAGAATATTTCTATGACATCTTAGTACTCTTTCCCTCTTGACTGTAACAGTGAGCTGGTGTTGAGAGCATTTCTGGTCTGAGGGCTCCTCCTCTGGTGGCTTCATGTTACAAGTGTTCAGGCTCTGAGGGGTTTTTGTTCAGCTCTACTGATGGTGTGTGTCACAGTGTGTCTCTGGCACAGTAATACACAGCAGAGTCTCCAGGCTGCACGCTCTGTCCGTTCAGAGTCACTGTGTTGCTGGAAGAGTCTAAGTCGATACTGAACTTGCTCTTCAGTGAATCTTTTTGGTATGTGGAGTATCCAACACGTGCGCCGATAATCCACTCCATTCCTTTCCCTGCAGGCTGTCTGATCCAATGAGTATGATGTCTGCCCACAGAATAAGAGACCTGACAGGTGATGGTCAGACGTTGACCTGGCTGCACAGTCACAGAGGCTGGCTGTGTCAACTGTTCACACTTCACATCTGTAAAAATAAAAATGATATGACAGATTATCCTGTTAAACAGCAGTAGAATAAGTGTTGACTCGTGCAGAGAGAGACTCACTTCCAGCTGCCAGCAGCAGCAGCAGAGCTACAGAGAACATGGTGATGATGACTCTGAGAAGACGTGAGCTCCTGATCCCCTTCAATCTCCACTGACAGTCTCATGTGAAGGCCTTATAACTGAATCACAATGGAGATGACTGAGTTTGCATAGAACCAAACACATTGCATATGAATATGAGTCGGACTGGAGATAGAAAATGGAGCCTGTTATTGTTACTATCACAATAATACAATCACCTCAGTGTTTCAAGAGTCAAGAATCAACTTTGTATACCCTATTTTTGCAAAAACAGATAATTAAAATCTGGAGCTCTTTTAATGTCCTTTTTGATTATTGTTACACCAGGTGCAAAACCTTTATTACATATTGAATATCCATTACTAAACAAAATAGCACACCTGAAATGTATATTTAAATACTTTATTAAGGGCAGTGAATTAATTTTTTCTGTATGTTTCTCAAATCAGTATTATAAGTGTCATAGACAGAGTTACATTGCTATTATTATCCTTAAAATATATGTAAAACAAAACCACTTATGTGATCTTTTTATTTGAGTGGTTTACTAATGACAGTTAATTCTGTTTTTGCTATAGATGGTTTTATTTTTGTCCTTTTCTCATGAGAAGAACTTGAAGAGTTGTTCATGTCTACATCATTAGTTATGTTATATCATTAGATAATTTAATAGTGGAAAAGGGACGCCTTTTAAAAAATATGAGCATTGCAATAAATGTAGTTAAGGATCTATTTAATGTTCAAGTGGTGGTATTGAATAGAGGTGTGCTATACAAACAGCATTAAACATCATTTAAACTAGCAGCAAATAGCTATTTAAGGCAATTGTAGACAAAAATGAACTGCTGATTAAAATACTTTAATTATTCTTTTTCAACGAAAGATAGTTGGTTTTTTTTCTTGAATTTGACTATAACTCATATGAGTAACATCAAAGCTTTACTTCTAATCATTGTTGTAGTTGTAACAATTTGAAACTAATTCAGAAATTGGTTGAACGATATGTTTTGTATTCTTTTTATGTTGTAGCTGCAATGAAGGAAAGCATGATGGTCTAAATGTTTACTTGTGTTTGCTGCAGCTGGATGAAGACCTGGGTTTTGTTTCTTTTCTTACTTTAAAGGTTTCAGTATTCAAATAGTGGCAATTTGAGGACAGATACAGAGAAACTTGGAGCCTTAAGAGGACATAAACTACTAAGGAACTGAAACCTATTTGACAATGTGCAAAAACACATTTCTGCAGTGCATGAAAAATGCAAACTAAATAAGTTAAAAGACGTAGGATCTCAGATTAGACCATTTTCTAAATGTTAGCACATAAATGCTTTTTATGGTTCAGCTGCTGTCTTCTCTAAAGAGACATTTTGATAAGGCTCTGTTCTGCAATAAACATGATAACTCTATTAAGTGATATGATTCCTACATTCAGATATCTGTTAAGAAATATTTGTTACATTGTTTGGTGTAACTAAAGTTGTTTCATGATATTGAAAGACTCCAAATCTCACATTAACAGTGTGAGAAAACTGTGGTAATAATGAGGAGTTTTTGTACAGCTGCTCAACCAGCTTCAGTCACTGTGCGTCTCGAGCACAGTAATAAACAGCAGAGTCTACAGCCGTCAGACTGTTCATCTGCAGATACAGCTGCTGTCTGTTGTTGTCTCTGGAGATGGTGAACCGGCCTTTCACTGACTCAGAGTAGAACTGGTTGCTACCATCAGTGTAGATATAAGCGATCCACTCCAGTCCTTTCCCAGGAGCCTGTCTGACCCAGGCCATGTAGGAGCTACTGAATGTGAATCCAGAGGCTGTACAGGTCAATCTGTGAGATTCTCCAGGCCTTTTAGTCACTGGTTCAGATTCTGTCAGAGTCTGACCATCAACACCTGTCAAGAGGATAAAAACACATCTGGTGAAATGAGTTGTTGACACAATTAGAAGCTGTGTTAGATAAAGATCAGTAAAGATGTTGACCTGCCCAGCAGACAGTGAGCAGCAGCAGTCCTGTCCTATAGTCCATCATGTTAAACTGTGTGTCCTCTGTCCTCTGTCCTCCTCTCTGCAGTCACATAAGTAGAGGGGGAGATATCTGAGTTTTGCATTGACTCCTCCTAAAAAAAAGGAGTAAACCAGATTTGCTATTAACTACTGTACCTTCATCACATGGTCACCTTATTTAAATCTGTATTTCTATATGTTAAGACTTGTTGTTGTTTTCGATTGACTATGTTATACTATGTCGCATGCAGAGGCCTAAAGATAATTGCACTGCTCTCACTGCAATTAAGTTTGACATGTTCTATTGTCTGCTGTCTGTCTTTGTAAAATAAATCTCTACTTTTTTTGGTGACTTCCACCAGTGTTGCACATAGGAGTAACCTTTGACACTGACTTTCTTCCAAACACAGAGCAAATCCCTAAACTGTCTTATTTTCACTCTTAAAGCATGGCACATGATAACATCGATATTAGAGCACAGCAATTGTCGTCTTTATGGTAAATCCTTTAAAATCCTTAATAGACACAGATACATCCTGAACTCTGCACGCTCTCCTGTTCACTCACTGATACGACTAACTTCCTTTCTTTATTGGTACTGCTGATTGTCAACATGTGTGTGTGGTTGAGTCACATGGTTACTGAGTATTTGTGCAGGTCTGCTGGTGGTTTGTGTCACTGTGGGCAGACGTACACAGTAATACACAGCTGTGTCTGCAGGCTGCACACTTTGTCCTGTTAGAATCACTGTTCCAGCAGAAGTGTCTCTGCTATAGCTGAACTTGTTCACTATTTTGATGCAGGGTGCCACTACCTCCACCCCACATATGTGAAATCCAGTCCATTGGTTTTCCTTCACACTGTCTGATCCAACCTGTTGCATAGCTGCTATCAGTCAGAGAATAACCAGAGACCTGACAGGTGATGGTCAAAGGCTGTCCAGGCTGCACAACCATTGAGTCTGGCTGGATGAGATCAATACTGTTCACACCTGTGGAAACACAAAGCAACATTATCTCCATCATTCATCTGACCACTCAGTGTTTCTGATGTGTTTATTAGTGAGAATCCACTGAAAGCTCCTCACAGGATCCAGCTGCCAGCAGCAGTATCAGAGCTGCAGAGAACATGTTGATGTTGAAGCTGAACTGATGTGAGCTCTTCTGGCCTCTCTCTGACACACACACACACTTCGCTGGTTTATGAGGCAACACACACACAGATCATTTACATACTGATGATTGGAAAACAGCTGACTAAAGTTAATGTAAATTATCCAAAAGATGAGGAAATGTTCAGGTGTGGTTTTTAATCACAGAGAAAAGGTCGAGCAACAAAATGTAGATTATAAAAACAAACTTTTCTATAGTTTTATCAAAATATGAAGTTGGATAAAAACTATTAATTCTTCTCCTAATCCAGTTATGACACTGATAAAGTTGTCTTTTACATATGTTATTGAATAATTATTTAATAGGAACTCTGTCCTTTAGAGGATTCCATTCTACTATAGAAAGGAATCTACTATATTATCAGACACTTTTAAAACAAACTTATGGTCTTACTATCCCTTTTAGATGTTATACCTACAATGATATACAGTATCAGTGATTGTAAAGTCAGATTGTTTAAATTGGTGAAAACCCTTTCTGTTGAATTAAGTTAAGAATATTTCTATGACATCTTAGTCCTCTTTCCCTCTTGACTGTAACAGTGAGCTGGTGTTGAGATCATTTCTGGTCTGAGGGCTCCTCCTCTGGTGGCTTCATGTTACAAGTGTTCAGGCTCTGAGGGGTTTTTGTACAGCTCTACTGATGGTGTGTGTCACAGTGTGTCTCTGGCACAGTAATACACAGCAGAGTCTCCAGGCTGCACGCTCTGTCCGTTCAGAGTCACTGTTTTGCTGGAAGAGTCTAGTCGATACTGAACTGGCTCTTCAGTGAATCTTTATAGTATGAAGCTCCAGTGTATTTCATTCCTATCCACTCCAGTCCTTTCCCTGCAGGCTGTCTGATCCAGGCTGTGTAGTAGCTGCTAAGAGAATAAGAGACCTGACAGGTGATGGTCAGACGTTGACCTGGCTGCACAGTCACAGAGGCTGGCTGTATCAACTGCTCACACTTCACACCTGTGGAGAGAAACATGTTGAATAGTGAGCGAGGTTAATAACAGTGAGCAGTCAGTGTGAGCGTTCTGTCAGTGTCTCTGCCTCAGTGAGACTCACAGGATCCAGCAGCCAGCAGCAGCAGCAGAGCTACAGAGAACATGGTTGGTGTTGAAGGTGACCTGATGGAGCTTCTCTTCTTCTGCTGCAGCTGACAGCATGATATCAAGTCTTTATAGCAGACTGTGAGGAAGTTCACTTTGCATAGAGAGGGACACTGACAGGCTATAAAAGAGGGACGGACTGTCCTGTCAAGAGTTGTCATTTGGATTTGTGTTGGGACATATGAAATAACATTTATCTTTTAAAAAAATAAATGAAAATGATCTTTTTATTTCCAATCAAACCTCAGACAAACAGTATATTTATTGTCTGATGTAACTTTTGGTAGCTGATATCTGATGAAGCAGTTTTATTGAGGCGATATTTCTTTCAGTGTTTTGATTATGTTGATCTCAAGCCTTTTTGTGATTGTGAGAAGCAGAACACAAAGTTTTGAATTTGTATTTGAACTTGTTGAGTTTTTGTACAGCGTTTCTCCTTTCTGTGTCACTGTGTGTCTCGAGCAAAGTAATAAACAGCAGAGTCTACAGCCGTCAGACTGCTCATCTGCAGATACACCTGCTGTCTGTTGTTGTCTCTGGAGATGGTGAACCGGCCTTTCACTGACTCAGAGTAGAAGATGTAGGCACTGTTAGTAGGGTGCATAGTAGCAACCCACTCCAGTCCTTTTCCAGGAGCCTGTCTGACCCAGTTCATAGGGTAGCTACTGAATGTGAATCCAGAGGCTGTACAGGTCAATCTGTGAGATTCTCCAGGCCTTTTAGTCACTGAATCAGATTCTGTCAGAGTCTGACCATCAACACCTGTCAAGAGGATAAAAACACATCTGGTGAAATAAGCTGGTGACATAATTAAAATCTGTGTTAGATAAAGATCAGTAAAGATGTTGACCTGCCCAGCAGACAGTGAGCAGCAGCAGTCCTGTCCTATAGTCCATCATGTTAAACTGTGTGTCCTCTGTCCTCTGTCCTCCTCTCTGCAGTCACATAAGTAGAGGGGGAGATATCTGAGTTTTGCATTGACTCCTCCTTTCTGATTGAACAGTGTCCTCTTTTAACAGTATTTTATATTTTATATTTATAATGTTAAAAACATTATCTCTTACAATTTTAAATTGGTAAACATTTGTTATTGGGATGTAAGTCACTTTGTAACATTTTATCATTGTTATTTAATTCAGATTTGTCAGATGAAACAAACAAATAATGGATTTTATTTACTGTTGATTCAAATAAAGGTATTAACATTAATGATATTAAAAAAAGCTTTGAGTTAATTTAGTAAATAAATCACTTTACATGTTTTATCAACATCTAATGTCTTTAACATTTATATTTTTGATCAAAGATGACGTTTTGTGTCAAATAAAGAACAGAAATGCATTTTGTGGGGAAGTATTCATATCTTGTATATGAGATACCCTGATATTAAACATGTAGCTAAAGTCATAGTGGACATGTGTTGTGTGTCCTGCAGTGGTTTGAGCTCTCCTCTTCAGTTTGCTGTGAGATAAATAAAGATGGAAGAGATGAATATTTGCATTGGCTCCTCCTCTTAGTGCTGAACATGAAGAATGTTTAAATTAATATTTAAATTCTGATCAAATGAACAATCTGCCTAAACTGTGTTGCTGTTTTATATAGAAACCATTCGTTATCAAACAAGACACACAGGAAGAAATGCCTGAGATACTGAAATGTGTTTGAGGGAGAACTAAATGAACTCATGAATCTGCAGTGACTACTGATCCAGCTCCTTTTTGTGTTATAATGAAGCAACCTCTCAAAGAGTGAGAGTATAAACCTGTAGTTCAGTCCAGGGTCTGAGTGTGAGTTAAGATCAGTGAGAGCAGCAGATCTGAGTGTTTCCTTTTACTGACAGAGGAGAGGGGAACTCAACACTGACTGCCATCTAGTGTCTTTATGAGAGCAGCTGCTCCATGATATGCATTAATGTTGCTGAAACGTGTTCATGTATTGTTTATTTTATTCCTATTTGGACATTGATCTCAGCTGATTCTTTTTTAGTTTTTGTCCTTGGCTATTTTGTGTGGCAGTGATCAATTCATCTAGATCTTTTTTTAATTGATTGAAATTGCTGGTAATTTATGAACTCTCTCAAGGCTGAATTTCATAATTATATTATATACAACCAAAGCAACAGATAACTGAAGAATATAATTCATTGTAAGTGTCTATCTAAGATAAGGATGAGGTCTGTAGGTTTTTGTACAGCTGCTCAACCAGCTTCAGTCACTGTGTGTCGAGCACAGTAATAAACAGCAGAGTCTACAGCCGTCAGACTGTTCATCTGCAGATACAGCTGCTGTATGTTGTTGTCTCTGGAGATGGTGAACCGGCCTTTCACTGACTCAGAGTAGAAGATATTGTCACTATCATATTCAATAATCGCAATCCACTCCAGTCCTTTCCCAGGAGCCTGTCTGATCCAAGCCATCCAATAGCTTTCAAAGTCAACTCCAGAGGCTGTACAGGTCAATCTGTGAGATTCTCCAGGCCTTTTAGTCACTGGTTCAGATTCTGTCAGAGTCTGACCATCAACACCTGTCAAGAGGATAAAAACACATCTGGTGAAATAAGCTGGTGACACAATTAAAATCTGTGTTAGATAAAGATCAGTAAAGATGTTGACCTGCCCAGCAGACAGTGAGCAGCAGCAGTCCTGTCCTATAGTCCATCATGTTAAACTATGTGTCCTCTGTCCTCTGTCCTCCTCTCTGCAGTCACATAAGTAGAGGGGGAGATATCTGAGTTTTGCATTGACTCCTCCTATAACTAAGGGTGTGTGTTTTTTTCAGAATAATTTTGCAAGGCCATTTATAAAGTGACAAACAATTGACTTCATGTAAAGTATAATGATTTTGATTGCAAGAGGGACACAACTAAGCCTAATCCAATACGACAATAAACTAAATTAATTAATTAACCATTAATCTCAGGTGTATTTGATTTAATTTGGGTTAGAGATTAGATGATCACAGCTGCTTCTTTAAGGGAAACATTATTAACATTTTTTATTGAATCAACTTCTCCAATTTGTTTACGGTGGATTAAAGTTAGCCAGTTAGCTGACTGGAATCAGTTGTTTGTCTCCAGTGTTAAATATAGAATTTGCTTCATTTGGTGGTGGTTATGTTACAGTAATGTTTCAAATTCAAACAGATGAAACTTTCCTGATGATAATGTTTATGATATAATGATGATTTGTGTTCAATCGGCAAATCAAATATTTTTTTTATGTAATCAAAGCGTGCATTCATTAATGTACTTCTAGAGATACATGGGCACAGTTTAACCATACTGAATCAGATAAACAGCTGTATTGTTTGAAATGGGACATTTTTATATTATCTGTGATACATTTTGTTGGAGGCACAAAAGACACAAAAATACATATTTTTCTGTTTGAATTCACTATATTTCTTTAGGCTGCAACTGAATTAAACATTGCGTAAAATGAGATGAAATAGGATGTCAATATTCAGTTAGTCAGTATTTCTAAAAGAGATACTGAAGAAAGTTAATATTCCCATAGGTGGTGGTAAATAGAGGAAGTAGTTTGTTATTCTCCTGTTACTGTCTCTCACTGTGTCTCTTCTGGCACAGTAATACACTGCTGTGTCCTCGGCCTTCAGACTGTTCATCTGCAGATACACTTTACTGCTGGAGTCATCTCTGGAGATAGTGAATCTACCCTGGACCGACTGGGAGTAAGAGATCGGAGAACTATTTGTGCTGATATAAGCGATCCACTCCAGTCCTTTCCCAGGAGCCTGTCTGATCCAGTTCATAGGGTAGCTCCTTAATGTGAATCCAGAGGCTATACAGGTCAATCTGTGAGATTCTCCAGGCCTTTTAGTCACTGGTTCAGATTCTGTCAGAGTCTGACCATCAACACCTGTCAAGAGGATAAAAACACATCTGGTGAAATAAGCTGGTGACACAATTAAAATCTGTGTTAGATAAAGATCAGTAAAGATGTTGACCTGCCCAGCAGACAGTGAGCAGCAGCAGTCCTGTCCTATAGTCCATCATGTTAAACTGTGTGTCCTCTGTCCTCTGTCCTCCTCTCTGCAGTCACATAAGTAGAGGGGGAGATATCTGAGTTTTGCATTGACTCCTCCTTTCTGATTGAACATTGTCCTCTTTTAATAGTATTTTATGTTAAAAACATTATCTCTACAATTTAAATTGGTAAACATTTCTTATTGGGCTGTAAGTCACTTTGTAACATTTTATTATTGTTATGTAATTCAGATTTGTCAGATGAAACAAACAAATAATGGATTTTATTTACTGTTGATTAAAATAAATGTATTAAAATTATTGTCATTAAAAAATGCTTTGAGTTAATTTAGTGAATAAATCACTTTACAGGTTTTATCAACATCTCATGTCTTTAACATTTATATTTTTAATCAAAGATGTATTTTTTTTTTTAATCAAAGATATGTCAAATAAAGAACAGAAATGCATGCATTTATTTTTGGAAAGAAACTCTGACATCCAACAATTTTTTGTTGTGTTTCGGTCGTAGAAGTACTGTTTAGTATGTTTCAATAAATAGTGTGAACAATATTCTTAGAGCTGAAATTGATTGTAAAGAAACTTAAATTTAGAGCAAAAAATGCAATTACTGAAAATATATAATTATAGATACTTGAAAAGGCTGATGTTTAACCATTTAAAGAAGAGTTATTTATTTTTTATTCAGGGAATACATACAGTAATGTATCAGTGAGTATAACCTCTAAATGTTTAAACTGATGATGTAACAGTGAGCTGGTGTTGAGATCATTTCTGGTCTGAGGGCTCCTCCTCTGGTGGCTTCATGTTACAAGTGTTCAGGCTCTGAGGGGTTTTTGTACAGCTCTACTGATGGTGTGTGTCACAGTGTGTCTCTGGCACAGTAATACACAGCAGAGTCTCCAGGCTGCACGCTCTGTCCGTTCAGAGTCACTGTTTTGCTGGAAGAGTCTAAGTCGATACTGAACTTGCTCTTCAGTGAATCTTTGTAGAATGTAGTTGAACCAACTCTCATTCCTATCCACTCCAGTCCTTTCCCTGCAGGCTGTCTGACCCAGGCTGTGTAGTAGCTGCTAACAGAATAAGAGACCTGACAGGTGATGGTCAGACGTTGACCTGGCTGCACAGTCACAGAGGCTGGCTGTATCAACTGCTCACACTTCACACCTGTGGAGGGAAACATGTTGAATAGTGAGCGAGGTTAATAACAGTGAGCAGTCAGTGTGAGCGTTCTGTCAGTGTCTCTGCCTCAGTGAGACTCACAGGATCCAGCAGCCAGCAGCAGCAGCAGAGCTACAGAGAACATGGTTGGTGTTGAAGGTGACCTGATGGAGCTTCTCTTCTTCTGCTGCAGCTGACAGCATGATATCAAGTCTTTATAGCAGACTGTGAGGAAGTTCACTTTGCATAGAGAGGGACACTGACAGGCTATAAAAGAGGGACGGACTGTCCTGTCAAGAGTTGTATTTTGGATTTGTGGTTAGACAATTATAAGGATATAGTGACTTATCACTAACTTTTATTTAAACTTAAATAAGATGTAATCATTTATTCTGCTCAGCAAAACCCTAACCCACATACTGGATACATCATGCATAAATCTATTTTTGATACTTTCTGTTGAAAAATAAATAATGGGACAATATTGTTGCAAGAATTCCTGAAGTAAAATGTATATCTAAAAAAGGGGAAGTGAAATTCCACATCAGCCGTTGCTTTCATAGTGTGTTTAGAAAAGCTGTCTTTTTCTCCTTACTGTCATCTGACTTTTTATCATTTACTGCCACCTGTTGGTACTAGTGATAATAAATAGTTAGAGGTTTTTGTAAAGCCTCTGGGCTTCCTTTAACCAGTGTGTGTGTTTGGCGCAGTAATACACAGCAGAGTCCTCTGGCTTTAAGTTGGACAGCCTCAGATGCACCATGCTGTTGCTATTATCTCTGGTGACTTCTATCCATTCTTGTAATCTGCTGGCATAGTCTGTTCTACTTGCATCGCTGTAAACACGACCCATCCATTCCAGTGCTTTTCCAGCAGGTTGTCGGACCCAGTGCATGCTGCAGCAGCTAAATGTGAAGCCAGATCCCCTGCAGGAGAGACTGAGAGTCTCCCCAGGCCTCTTCACTACTGAAGAGGAAGGAATAGACTCCATACTCTGACCTGTACAACCTGATAAGATACAAAAAAGAGAAATGATCACTAACACACCAAACACAGGGCTGAATCACTGACTGACCATCAGTGGATGTTGTCTGATAAAAGATAAAACATCAAGAAGCAGGAGAGCTCACAGGGCAGAGAGAGAGCAACCAGCAGAAGAGAGAGAGAGTTGATCATCCTGAGACTGGAGATGTGACCTCTGATGCTCCACACAAAGTACAGAGCAGTCAGACAGAAGTACTCTGCACACACTGAAGATTTGCATCAGGATAGCATGGGGAGGGAGGGGCTCATGCAGGGACTTGTAGTTTGATCTAATTGACTCAATTATTTGTCTTTTTTAAAATGATATTCACTTATCCTTCTATTTGACATCTGACTTTAAACTCAGAGTCATGCTCCCTTTTTGTTTTGAAGTATTTTATCCATGCCAAAAAATGACCCATGGTCCCATAAAAAGAGTGGTTGAGTAACTTGGTTATTGAGTATTTGTTGGCTTTGTTGGTGGTTCGTATCCTTGTACTTCTTACACTTACACAGTAAAACCCAACAGTGTCCTCAGGCTGCATAAAAAGTCTCTAAGGATGTAGAAGAGTCACCATAGTTGAGTTAGCAAAGATTGTGTTGCCATTATTTGATTTATTGTAAAAACAATTCCTAAAACTGTCAAAATTAGTAGATGTTATTTCAGTAAAACATAATTCTTTATTTAAACCACAGTATTCACTGGATTCAAACTTATGTTATATAAGGTTATCCTTTAAAAAAATGCAGGTATTCTGTGAGTCATGACAACCTGTCTCAACGCAATAACACACATGTTTTTCTAAATGAAATACATTTCATTATCAGCTGGCGATCATCCAATGGGAATTGTGTTTTCACAGCCCTGACATGCTTCAGTGGTTTTCATACAGGGATCAGTGTTGTCAGTTGTTGTACAGCGTGGTAGTCTAGTGTGTCACTGTGGCTCTCGTGCACAGTAATAAACTGCAGAGTCTTCTTGTGTCAGACTCTTCACCTCCAAGTACACAAGATTTTTGGAAGTGTCTTTGGTGATGGAAAACTGGCCTTGCAGTCTTTGGGCAAATATGGTGCCAGTTCCACTATCAATGCGTCCGATCCATTCTAGTCCTATCCCTGGTTTCTGCCTGATCCAGTGCAGCCAAGCCAGAGGAAGTCCTTCCACCTTACAGGACAGAGAGACTGGTTCTCCTGTTCTGCTGACCACCGGCTCTGAGGAGGTGAGGGACTGGCCCTGAGCCGCTGAAAGAGACACAGAGTTTAGATGAAGGGGAACCAGCAGCTCTTCTCCTCCTCTGCTGGACCGACTTCACTCACCTGAAACCAGAGCCAGGAGGACCACGCTTTGTACCAATGTCATGGTGGGAACTTGTCCGAGTCTGCAACAACAGAGGCTGTATGAAGGATATATATTGTGCATGCAGAATGGGTGGGGATTATCCATCAGTGTGTTGGGATTTGCATTTTTGGGGGGCGGGTTGCAGTGATGATACATAAATACTTAATTTGTGAGAGAAGGAGGAGTGCTGAAATATGAGAGAAGGTCCATAACAGACCCAATAATAAGATGTTGTTTAGTCTTTTCTACTTGTTGGTATGTGCATTTCTGAGAGACTATAGTGTGGTGGGTGATTTAATGTATACAAAACAAGCTGCACTGTCAGTCTCGTACTTTCATTTGAAAATGATAGGTCACCTCAGTGAGGGGGATTACTGCTAAAACAGCAACATGTCAGTCAGGAAGACAAAGATTTTCTCCCAGAAAGTGAAAGTTTGTCTTATTGCAGAATGATTTATTTATCCAGCGTATATCACAATGCACAATCACAAGAACAAACAGCCATTCTTCCTTCTGTTCATCATGAACTTCTTTCAGACGTGAGATTAACACATGAGGCTGCTTCACTTCCAACTGAATGTGAGTCATGTGACAGAAAGGTCTACATTTAGTGTTTCTTTTTGCCCATACGTGAAACATACATTTAGAAGATGTTATTTCTGTCCTTGGCTGTTTTATGAGGAAATTATTATTTTAAATACATATTTTTTTTTTTTATTGTGTTTTGTAACTTGTTGTAACGGTTTTTTTCATTTTCATAAAAACGACAACAACGAATGATTTAGTCAACGTATAATTATCCTTGTACTCTATCAACAAAGTACGGATGAAGACTGTAGGTTTTTGTACAGCTGCTCAACCAGCTTCAGTCACTGTGTGTCGAGCACAGTAATAAACAGCAGAGTCTACAGCCGTCAGACTGTTCATCTGCAGATACACCTGCTGTATGTTGTTGTCTCTGGAGATGGTGAACCGGCCTTTCACTGACTCAGAGTAGTACTGGGTGCCACCACCACTGCTGATATAAGCGATCCACTCCAGTCCTTTCCCAGGAGCCTGTCTGATCCAGTGCATGCTGTGGCTACTGAAGGTGAATCCAGAGGCTGTACAGGTCAATCTGTGAGATTCTCCAGGCCTTTTAGTCACTGGTTCAGATTCTGTCAGAGTCTGACCATCAACACCTGTCAAGAGGATAAAAACACATCTGGTGAAATAAGTTGTTGACACAATTTAAATCTGTGTTAGATACAGATCAGTAAAGATGTTGACCTGCCCAGCAGACAGTGAGCAGCAGCAGTCCTGTCCTATAGTCCATCATGTTAAACTGTGTGTCCTCTGTCCTCTGTCCTCCTCTCTGCAGTCACATAAGTAGAGGGGGAGATATCTGAGTTTTGCATTGACTCCTCCTATAACTAAGGGTGTGGTTTTTTCAGAATAATTTTGCAAGGCCATTTATAAAGGGACAAACAATTGACTTCATGTAAAGTATAATGATTTTGATTGCCAGAGGGACACACCGAGGCCTACATCCAATATGACAATAAACTCAATTAACTAACTAACGATTAATCTCAGGTGTATTTGATTGAATTTGGGTTAGAGATTAGATGATCAGAGCTGCTTCTTTAAGGGAAACATTATTAATATATATTGTTTGTATTTAATCAACTTCTCAAATGTGTTTACGGTGGATTAAAGTTTGCCAGTTAGCTGACTGGAATCAGTTGTTTGACTCCAGTGTTAAATGTAGAATTTGCTTCATTTGGTGGTGGTTATGTTACAGTAATGTTTCACGTTCAAACAGATGAAGCTTTTCTGATGATAATGTTTATGATATAATGATGATTTGTGTTCAATCGGCAAATCAAATAGATGTTTATTACTGTTTAATGTTATCAAAGTGTGCTTTCATTAATGTACTTCTAGAGATACATGGGCACAGTTTAACCATACTGAATCAGACAAACAGCTGCGTTGTTTGAAATGGAACATTTTTATATTATCTGTGATACATTTAGTTGGAGGCACAAAAGACACAAAAATAAATATTTCCTTCAAAACATACAAATTATCTGTTAGAATTCACTATATTTCGTTAGGTTGCAACTGAATTAAACATTGCGTCAAATGAGATAAAATAGGACGTCAATATTCAGTTAGTCAGTGTTTCAATATAAAGTGAATGCTCTCATGGGTGGTGGTAAATAGAGGAAGTAGTTTTTGTACGGCTCTCCTGTTACTGTCTCTCACTGTGTCTCTGGCACAGTAATACACTGCTGTGTCCTCGGCCTTCAGACTGTTCATCTGCAGATACAGCTGCTGTCTGTTGTTGTCTCTGGAGATAGTGAACCGGCCTTTAAATGACTAAGAGTAGTACGGGGTGATACCAGTGTCGAAATAAGCAATCCACTCCAGTCCTTTCCCAGGAGCCTGTCTGATCCAGTGCATGTTGTAGCTAGTGAATGTGAATCCAGAGGCTGTACAGGTCAATCTGTGAGATTCTCCAGGCCTTTTAGTCACTGGTTCAGATTCTGTCAGAGTCTGACCATCAACACCTGTCAAGAGGATAAAAACACATCTGGTGAAATAAGCTGTTGACACAATTAAAATCTGTGTTAGATAAAGATCAGTAAAGATGTTGACCTGCCCAGCAGACAGTGAGCAGCAGCAGTCCTGTCCTATAGTCCATCATGTTAAACTGTGTGTCCTCTGTCCTCTGTCCTCCTCTCTGTAGTCACATAAGTAGAGGGGGAGATATCTGAGTTTTGCATTGACTCCTCCTTTCTGATTGAACATTGTCCTCTTTTAACAGTATTTTATGTTAAAAACATTATCTCTACAATTACAAATGGGTAAACATTTCTTATTGGGCTGTAAGTCACTTTGTAACATTTTAATATCGTTATGTAATTTGTTGTTTGTCAGATGAAACAAACAAATAATGGATTGCATTAACTGTTGGTTAATATAAAGGTATTAACATTATTGTCATTAAAAAATGCTTTGAGTTAATTTTGTAAATAAATCACTTTACAGGTTTTATCTACATCTCATGTCTTTAACATTTATGTTTTTGATCAAAGATGACGTTTTGTTTCAAATAATAAATATTTGTTTTTGGAAACAAACTCTGGCATCCAACAATTTTGTGTTGTGTTTTGGCTCGTAGATGTACTGTTTAGTATTTGTGAATACATAGTGTGAACAATATATTAGAGCTGAAATTGGTTGTGAAGTAACTTCAATTTAGAACAAAAAAATCATTTACTGAAAATATATAATACTTGATACTTAAAAAGGCTGATGTTTAACAATTTAAAGAAGTATTATTCATGTTTTTATTCTGGGAATACATACAGTAATGTATCAGTGACTATAACCTCTAAATGTTTAAACTGATGATGTAACAGTGAGCTGGTGTTGAGATCATTTCTGGTCTGAGGGCTCCTCCTCTGGTGGCTTCATGTTACAAGTGTTCAGGCTCTGAGGGGTTTTTGTACAGCTCTACTGATGGTGTGTGTCACAGTGTGTCTCTGGCACAGTAATACACAGCAGAGTCTCCAGGCTGCATGCTCTGTCCGTTCAGAGTCACTGTTTTGCTGGAAGAGTCTAAGTCGATACTGAACTTGCTCTTCAGTGAATCTTTAAAGTGTGTGGTGGATCCAGCAGCTGCCATTCCTATCCACTCCAGTCCTTTCCCTGCAGGCTGTCTGATCCAGGCTGTCCAGTAGCTGCTAACAGAATAAGAGACCTGACAGGTGATGGTCAGACGTTGACCTGGCTGCACAGTCACAGAGGCTGGCTGTATCAACTGCTCACACTTCACACCTGTGGAGGGAAACATGTTGAATAGTGAGCGAGGTTAATAACAGTGAGCAGTCAGTGTGAGCGTTCTGTCAGTGTCTCTGCCTCAGTGAGACTCACAGGATCCAGCAGCCAGCAGCAGCAGCAGAGCTACAGAGAACATGGTTGGTGTTGAAGGTGACCTGATGGAGCTTCTCTTCTTCTGCTGCAGCTGACAGCATGATATCAAGTCTTTATAGCAGACTGTGAGGAAGTTCACTTTGCATAGAGAGGGACACTGACAGGCTATAAAAGAGGGACGGACTGTCCTGTCAAGAGTTGTCCAAGTGTGGATTTGTCTTATGAACATTTATTTTGGAAAGAAGGTATATTTATTGTTTGAAACTAAACTTAAAATGACAGTCTTGAACATCCCTGTTTTGTTCCCTTTGTCGGCAACCTTAAGCCTTATCTAAGTTATTCATTCTTCTTTTTTTTATTATTATTTAGTAAAACGCTTCACACCTGCCTTACAAAATAACAGATGGGAGTTATATGAACTCCTCCATTGACGCAGAAAAACACACGTTGGTAGAAACCATGAAAAAGAGGAAGTCACTAACCACCAAACTCAACCGTTGCTTTCACATTGTGTGTTGGTAAAATGCAGTAGTGGTTTGTCATATTATTTTTGATTAAATATCTTTTACTGACCCTTTTGGTGACAGTAGGAATAATGTGTTTAAGGTTTTTGTAAAGGGACAAAAAAAGCAGGAATAAATGGCAGCGCTTTAAATTTAAAGATAGGTGTATTGTTTTCGCACAATTTTTAAATAAACAAACATCACACATCACAAATAATATACAGTGAAGGAAGAGGCAAACATCCCACTGGGCTTTATTTGAATCCTCCACCTAAATCAAATTTAAGATGTTATAGAAAACACAAGGTTAATATAAAAAAAGAATGTGAATTCAGTAGTGATGGCATACTAGAAAAAAAGACATTGCAGCTTGAACCTGAGCAACTTACAGGGCAGACAGAGGGCTGTCAGCAGAATCAGTCTGTCCATCTTCTCGAGACTGAAAAGAGAAACGCAGTGACCCAGAAGTCAGTGGGGGGGACAGAAGTATACTCTCTGAAAACTCTGGATTTGCAATGGGAGGGGCTAATATTTTTGGGATAAGGGAGTATTCAAATACATCTCTTGGATAAAAATGTGTTGCATGTAATTTCAGGCTTTTTAACGACACTGGTTTCTCTGACAAACCGACTCAAAGTCAAAAGTCAAAGTCAACTTTAATGTCCATTTTTCTGTGTGTTTGAACAGACAGAGAGATCGAAATAACGTTTCCAACAATCCCGAATACAAAATACAATAATACAAAAATACAAATATGTATAAATATGTATATCCTCTGTATATACAATCAACAGACACATTTACACATATGCACACAAATTAAGACTCACCTTCTAGGATAGCTTTTGCTTGTGATTTGCAAAAAATATTCAATGAAGTATTAAATTACCATTTTCCCTTGGCTGTTTCTGTTTCAACAAGCTCATCTAGAGTGTACAAATAATCTGTATAAGGAAGAAGACAAGGTGGACAAACACTACAGAAACAATCAGAAAATACCTCAATCAAACATTTGATATCTAACCAAATCACTTGTAAAATTACCTCCCATCATGCTACTGTGTCAAATGTTACATATTTTCTTGAAATAGACAAAAGCTATTTAGCATTTCACTGGCACTATTATGCTCATTTTCAGGTTCATATTTGTATTATGTGCCTCTACTGTAACATGTTTACATGCTTTAATGTTCAAAAAGGTCTTTATTTTTGTGGTGTGGGAGGGAACGTTGGGATTTCAGTCTTTGCAGGCCATTTACATGTACAAAAACCTAACACTACAGGAAAGGGAAAACCCCAAAAAGCATTATAGGGCCCCTTTAAAAAAAAAAAGGTCAAGCATAATGATGCCGCAACTGAAGTGCATATGTTTCACAAAAATATATAAAACTAGCATAGTAAGAGAAAGCAAATGTTATTTTACTCAGCCATTTAAATGTGTCTGTAGTGTAAGAAGCATGTGTTATGTAAAAAGATATGAGAAGTGATTTCATAGAATGATCTGGCATTCAGCTCATGTTGTCAGATAATGCTGATCCCGTTTATGTGCAGCACATACTGGCCCAACCAAATCCCTACGTGGTTGTGTGTGATGGAATCGGTCATTTCTTTCTTTCATGGGCCTCTCATTACATTACATTACATTACATGTTACTTGTTAGACGCTTTTATCCAAAGCGACTTACGTAGTCAATACCGTGGGCAGGGGCGGACTGGGACTAAAAATCAGCCCGGGCATCTCGACCGGCCCACTTCGGTACCACTAGTAAATTGCCAACGGGGGGGGGGGGGGGTGCTAGTGACTTATCCGACCGGCCCACATCGTCTGACCGGCCCACTTCGGGACGTCTCCATGGCCAGTCCGCCACTGACTGTGGGCAATCCCCAGAGGAGCCATTTGGGGTGAAGTGTCTTGCCCAAGGACACAACGACAGGCTGACTGTAGTGGGGTTTGAACCTGTGCTCCCCTGATCCGAACACCAACGCACTAGTCCACTGCGCCACAACCTCCCTCTCATGCAATGCAACAGACAACTCAGCTTTATGAGCATTGTGTGTAGATTAAGAACATCTTCTTAAATTGCACAGAACCTTTAATGTTTCCAATGCATGTATTGTTATGCAAGAGACTGATGTTTATTCTCATGTGAAAATAAAGTGCTGCAATCATCATGCATGCTGAGATTAATAGTCACCACAGTGAAAAAAATCACTTACCTTTTTTAGATTAATATTACATTTTGGAGCTTTTAGTCATAAAACAAAGATCTTATTTTCCCCACACATATATAGAAATCACTTAAGCATATTTGCAGGGACATATGATTCACAATCCTTTTAATAATAGTTGTGTTCCCTCTTCCCATCTGTTGTATTCTGATAGCGGTAAAAGCTTTGCACAGACATCAAGTCATGTACTCAAATGCACCACATGAAAGGATTCAAACAACTGCAAACAATAAGCAAACACATATAATTCCTTTTTCCAAATTATTAAGGATTTAAATGAAAATATGCGGAGAGAAAGTATTTTTTATCAGTGAAAAGTGTAAAAACTGTGTAATATATATATAATTATAGGAGTTGTTGTTCGTGGTATTTTGATTATTCTATATGAAAAAGCTTTTGAAACAACAGTAGTGTTTGTATATGAAATTCCATATATGCACAGTTTTAAGCCCATCTTTCTCTTCTCGACCAAAGCTGCAGAGATAATCCATAAGAGACCTCATCCCGACTCTGGCGTACGCAGATCACTGCTGTTTACGCTTTACACACAGACACATGCTCGCACAGGGAGAAAAGAAAACGACTGGATGATAGAAGGACATATAATTAATTTGAACAAGGACATTTACAAACACAAGTAGACCAGGATCTCCACTGAAGCTGTCATCATGAGTATTAAACAAGCCTGCATCTTTCTCAGGGGAGGATCGAGGAGACAAGTAAGAAAAAAAATGTTTTACAGTACAGTTTATGATTTCATTTCATTTTACTCGGTCTTAAAAGTGTTTTCTCTATACCAAAAGTATAATCATTGTTCTCTTATTGGTTTATCAGGAATGTATTTCTTACTATCATCTGATCATTTTCTATGAAACTGTTTTGTTAATATGGTTATTCTTATAAGGGGTCAATTCGAGTGAATGGCACAAGTTTTAACCGAGTCTCGTGTGGAGTAGATTGAGAAGGCAAACTTTTTATCCGCTGCATCAGAGCTCAGTTTTTGTGCTTTTTCCATGATGTTAAAAAAATATGTTTACAATATTATTAATATTATAATTTATATACAAATTAGAATATATTTTCACAGGTTATAATCTGAATTGTTTACTTTATATACACATTTTTTTTACCAGAAATTCGAATGATGTGCTGATGTAGTAATCCTAAAATGAATATACTTTACATTTGATCTGGGATCAATCAGAAAGGATACTGTAAGATTTAAAAAATAATGTTTTCAGAAAGGATTGAACAGATTACATACGTACAAATTAAGTACATAAAGCTTAGTTCATCTATATATACTGTAGGACCTGATCGTAAACCCGTGTTGGGAATTACACATGTATATTGTTTGTTCAGAAATAGCAAGTTGATACATAACATTTATACCATTATACTCCATATCATATATAATAAGTCATAGATCATGTGTAGCTTAAAAAACAAAGAAGCAAATGCATTCTTCTCATACTTTCTTCAATATTACAAAATGATGTCGCTGAAGCTCACACCAATATGTTTCACAAGTGAATGAAATGATGTGAGTCTTTAGTTATTACATACTGACAATTCATGTGAACAACAATATTACATTTACAAAAAGACCATATGCACCTTTATATGCAGCTTAAATAAACACCTTAATGTTAAGAGAGGCAGTGAAAAAATGTATACAACAAATTTTAAAAAGTGTTCATCAAAGAGCATAGCATGGTTGGTGCTGAGAAATATTGGAAACATTTGTTGTAATGAAATAAAAAAAGTTAAATTATTGTAATTTGGGTGTGTACTTTAATGAAAGTGGTCAAATAAAATGGGTGAAAAGAATGGTTGCCCATCCTAAAAACACATGTTAAAAAATTATTTTACATGTAAAGATCTGGTCCAATTTAACAGAGTGTGTTCAGATTGCGCTTAATTCCATAAAGGATTCATTCTTAGTCTGCAATACATATCCGTATATGTATGAACGGAGCTGATAGGAGGGCATGCCTTGACACAATGTAGATATTTGCAAACATCACAAAAGTTGTAAAATGTGTGGTTAACTACTCTTTCAAATACCTTCTAACAACATGTCCTACTTCTGTCCATTCTGGTTTTGCAGACAAGGGCTCTTACAAACGATGAGATTGAAGGTAGGTCTTTTGTTGCTTTCAGATACACTTGAAATGTGTTGTGTTACATTGTTCTCAATCTACAGCAAGTTTCAAATTCTAGTAACAAGCATCTCAAGTATGTCTCCCTTTTAGAGTTACGTGAAGCTTTCGTAGAGTTTGATAAAGACAAGGATGGTTTCATATCCTGTAAAGACTTGGGGAACCTGATGAGGACGATGGGGTACATGCCCACTGAAATGGAGCTCATTGAACTCAGTCAGAACATCAACATGAACTGTGAGTAATATCCTCCAATGTATGACTGGAAAACAAACACATATGTCAAACTCCATTAGTGCCAATCAAGTTGGTTATTAAAGAACTTATAACAGCAAAAACCCATCATTATAACTTAGATATCTCCCTTTTTATAACCAATATAACTACAGTTTTGTAGTTTAAACCAGCAAATTCATTATCTGGTACTATGGTTTTTAAAATATCTTCAAGACTGATGAAAGCTACAGGAAACGTGTCTTTCACGCTCTCCTTAACAATGGTCTCCTGAGACGAAGAATTACATTTGCATATTTATATTTCGAAAGTAGCCTGACAGAACAGAGGAGCACAGTGCAGATATATAATCTTAGTTATACTCTATATCTTACAGTTAGATGTGAACCATGCATAAAGTATTTGCATTTCACTGTGATTTAGAATAAGTCAATCATGTATAACAAAGACGATAAATGTCCAGGAGAAGTGTGCTTGCATGTTTGATCAAAATTGTCACAGTGCAGCAGAGTGAAATGTAATGCATTAAAACAGAGAGTCACTAATTACCCGAGATAAAAAAAATGTATTCAGGATGATATCAAAGTGCTTTTCCTCTGTCTGATCGCTGCTCAAAGTAACATATCATTATTTGTCTTATCCCAGTGGGGGGACATGTGGACTTTGAGGATTTTGTGGAGCTAATGACCCCCAAGCTCGTGGCTGAAACTGCAGGGATGATCGGGTTGAAGGAACTCAAAGACGCATTTCGAGAGGTGAGCTCAGCACACCTATTCCCTCTCTTTCTGGTCTTTGGCACCTCATGGTGGATGTAACATGAACATACTGTCAAATCTGAAAATCCAGCAAAACGTTTGATTGCAAAATGAGTCTGAATTGTCCACAAGCTTTGCAATGGTTTGTTTTTCCTTTACCTCGCTCCTGTAGTTTGATTTAGACGGTGACGGTAGTATCACATCTGAAGAGCTGAGACATGCCATGACAAAGTTACTAGGAGAGCAGACCTGCAAAAAAGAAATCGAGGCGGTGGTCAGAGAAGCTGACAACAATGGAGACGGAACAGTGGACTTTGAAGGTTAGTAACAAACACACACACACAAACACACATGCATGAAAATATAGGTGTGTCTTTCATTTGAAGCAAGATACATGTAATCAATCATCTTTGGTTGAAATAACTGCTTTTAAGTGTTGAAGAAAAGATGCAGGGCTCTGGTATAAGCTAACTCTGACAACAATGTCTGCCATGAAGAAATACACTCTTTAATGCCAAAGCTGAACTTAGTGTGTAGCTTTCTGATTTGTATTAGTTTGCAATACTGTACAAGAATGTAGCTAATCAATATCACAATGATTGTCTTTACAGAGTTTGTGAAAATGATGTCTCAGAAATGAGGACAAGGATGATTCTCGATGATCATCGAAGAAGAAGTATTATTCAATTCTATGATAACGTACTTCTTATGAATACTTGTATTTATGTTATTGTTGTTTAATTTTCATCTGTGTCATACATGAACATGTGGAGCTCAATTTATTAAAGTGTGCAAACAAATGACGTCGTTGTGTTCAAATTGATGAATAAACAGATGTTAAGGTTTAAGCAGTAGCTCCAAACGGCTACCCATTATTTTTCAGTTTTGCAAATTCTAAAACGTTGTGGTCCGGATTCAGTCAGCTGTTCAAAAAGTAATAAATGAATGATATAGGAAATGTCTGTGATGTCTAGCTAAGCATGTCGGTATAAGCCTACTTCTTTCTAAGGATATCTGTTGTTATCTATCGAAGTTTAGTAGTTGTGGACAACAACATCCCCTCATCCTACTCCAGCCGGCTGCAGAAAGGGTCTGCTGTGAATTTAATCGGATCCAGAGGACATAATCTGAGAATGTTTAGCACTGACCTCGCCAAAAGTAAGGGTTACATCTGTCTGATGATACCTGTAGGAAATAATCTCAGCAGGACCGAGTGTCCTCTGCCGCCTCGCTCCCATGCTCCTGTCTCAATACGGTGGGAAGCCGGCCATCTGCTTTAAGTACTATTATGTAAATATTAGACATCTTTAGTTACTAGATTCAGATTAGTTTGACAAAATATAATTGAACAAAAACAAGTCGATGTGTTTATAGGTTGAGCTACCCAGCATTTCATAAATGGGATATTACCAGCGACAACATTAGTGAGGCTAACACATTAATGTATTGCTCATTATAATCTTGTGATATATACTAATATTGTGACATGACTTTTTTCTCTTTTGGTAGTTTAAGTATATTTTGATGCCAATACATCTCAGTTGTTCTACTCTGTTAATGATATGCATTGAATATAATAAAAAATGTCTCTTAACATTAGTCAGGGGTCATTAGTTTACTCAATAACAGAAAGATTGGGAATCACTGGTTTAGACCGACCTTTACAGCTTAACTCAATCTGAATCCATTTGATTTATTTAACAAGCCGATTATTATTCGTTTGAACATGAATATGGCTATTATTCGGAATGGCAGATTGCCAACGACAATAAAAAATAACAGATTTATTTCCAACCTCTTTGTTCGTTTGGCGTCGTTCACAGAAAATAATCCCTCTATGGTCGCTAATGCTTTTGCATAACAAAAAAGGCCAATACGAACATTGTGGTGTGAGTGATGAAAGCTATTTTTGTCTTGACAATAATAATGGTCCTAATCTTTTGACAGCGTCAAGATTGTGAAAAAAAACCCTACTGAGCGTTAAGGAGTCAAGATGACATGCAATGGCTGGAAAACAAAAACGATATTGGTTCACGAACCTGTGGTGACCAATATTAAGAATTAAAACATTGTTTGTAAAAGATATACATATGTCAGAAAAGGTTAGCATTGCAGATACAGATGAGCTTGTTATATTATAATGTGGTGGAGAGTTTTGCTTATTAAATATTATCAAGTCTTTTTCTACAAGACAGCCACCCCTTATAGCTGAGCTTTGACGGTAATGCTCAATATTTCAGTTTTTATACAATTTGCTTGAAAGTGAAATCCTACACAGGTCAGAAGCTAAATGTCCCATGTTGTACAAATCACACGTCATGAAACATCATACAACCACATATAAACGATCTCAGGAATAATCTGTCTCTCTGGGCTGGATTAGTTCAGTCTCTGTAATCCTCATCATGGGACCCTCAGATGAGCAGATGGCAGATAAGACAAGATCACCACTCTAATTCTCCTCTGCTAAGTAACCAAAAAAAGCAATAAGAGCTGAAACAGAATGTGAAAGTTTGATATGTTAGTGTGTTTAAATCAAAACCATATTCACTTTTGGCCATTTCCATGGAGAATGGTGTTATTTTAAACAATCGAAGTATTAAACAGGCTATTTTTCTGTAATAAAAACAATGTGACATCTTAAAACCAATCACGAATATGTTGCATACATACACTTGTTTTTACACACAGTCCATACTGATTCATTTCATGCATTTATTTGTTATTTGGATTCCAAAATACCTGAATGTCTGCATGACATACAAGTGTAAACCACAGGCAAACCACCAACAACAAAACATCGATTTATAATTACATACAGGCACATGTAGAGGTAATAAGAAGAGAAGGAATAACCACAGTGTGTTAATATACGTTTGGCATTCGTTTTGGAAAATAAATAGAAATGTATATGTTTTTCTTGTTTTCACAGTTTTTTGGTTGAACTATAGATAACCAGAAAGCATCCCATGCTAACTCGTGTGTTTGTGTGCATGCGTCCAGGGATCAGGACAGATAGGTTTCACATGCAAATAGCATTCACTAACATATGACGTCAAGAAACAATTTACAACTAAACCAGATGTGCTCTTTTTAGATCGGATCTCATTGCACTTGCAGGTGATGTCAGCTCCTAGTTTGCAGCAAAACGTTCTAGCATGTAACACTTCCTCACATCATCCATAATAATACACACATCTTGTTGTAGATCTTAAAACCAAACACCCACTTTGAAAGCATGGTCAATGGCTTGTGTAATTCTTAGGGGCAGATAAACACAGTGATTCGTCGACTGGAATGAGATGCATCACCTACAACTAGCAGCTGGGCAAGGCATCCCTGCCTGATGAGTATCGGTATTTGGCAGCAGCAACTTCAGAGGTCGGGGCTGAACATGAAGTCCAAAGCTTGTCTCTCTGCTGCAGCCACATTTGGATGCCAGAGGTCCACACTCAAAATGACTCGGGGCCCCGAATCTGGAGACCCTTTACAAATAGACGTAGATGCAACATTAGGTAAGTATGTGACAGAAACGAGTCATGGTTCAACTGTTGAGAACAACTCAAGTAAAAGAGCAAAATCTCATTAAAGGTCCCCTATTATACTGTTTTTCATCAATATATTATAGGTCTCAGATGTATACAAAACATGTCTCTGAAGTGTTTGGCTCGAAATACCAAACAGATCATTGCAGCATCCCATAATCCCCTCTGTTTCAGCCCTGTTTCAAAAGTGCTGATTCTCTGTCTGTGACTTTAGATGAAAATAAGGAGCCACTCCCCATGCCCCTCTGAGAGATATTTGGTTAAAAAGAACACAATGGTGCTCTAGGAGGAGATTCAGGTGATAAGCTGGGGGGGGGTTACCTTGGTTGGTGATTGGCTAATGGTTACACAAGCCAAAAAAATCGTTATGACATCATAAAGAGGCCAAAATCTGATCAGCTCATTTTCAGACAGGTTTTTATATAAATGGATCAGGACCAAAAGTGAGAGAATCTTTTTTCCTGGCACTTTCAGAATCTCTTTACACAGAGGGGACACATGTTTATGTATAAAAGACATGGAAAAAGTGGATTTTGCTTAATAGGTGACCTTTAAAACAAAACCAAGGACACTCAAATTTTTATTTCACAATCTGCTTATTTTGTATTCAGAGATCATGCATTACAGTACATGACATTTTAATATGTATTCACCTGTGATAATAATAGTACTAATAAAAGCATTCAAAAATAATGCTATAGGTGCTTATGTTTTGAAGTGATTCAGATGGACTAACCCTTGTGGGAGACGGTGTGGAGGAAGGAGTCATCAACCAGGAGGCAGTGCCCCTCCGACCAGCACTGAGGCTCCCCTCCCCACCACCAGCTCACACAGGGAGGGAGTCTGCAGACCTACCAAAGTGACATCTGTTTAAACTTTGGAACACAAAGTATTGTGGTTACAATCAGCTGAGAAGATCACGCACTATTGTCCTCTCTGTGTTCACAATGAAAAGGATTACAGCCAGATGGAACAAACTAAATGTGCTGAGGAGAAAATATCCCCTGACCCACAAAGAACCACATTGTGCAAAGCTTGAGTACTTAAAAATAAATGCAGGAAAAAAAACACAATGATTTCTTTTTACTTACCAAGATGACAACGTAGGCGAGTATTAGTGGGTCCATATGAACTACCCAACGTGGCTCCGGGCCCTAACAGCCAAAATCCAGCAGATCCTAAAGAGTTGCTGCTGATGAACGTACGCAGAGAGAGAAGAGTCCGGTAGGTGCAGGGACAGGAGCGACAGTTTCCTGCCACAGAAACACCTGCGCTGTATAAAGAAAACACTGCCTGGCCCTGAAAGAGACAATGCCTTATGACTCAGATACACATATACTTGAGAATAACACAGGATCAGCAATGCATACTCCTATAAATATCAGAGCTGACCTCTAATAGAGATCAAATGAACGATACCTATCACAAGAAAACTAACACTGAATAAAACATACTTTAGTTTTTTGTCTATTGGCTGAATTGAGAGAATGATTTAACTATCTTTGCTGTGGTTGCAGAATTAGAAAACTAATCCAAAAAGTGTCGATAGCATACAACTATACTTGCATTAAGGTCTGGATCAATATCAATGTGTGTTTTTTGTACGTGAGAAATTGGACACTTAACCACGTTGTGCTGGTGCCATTTCTCGGTGACAGTATTATGGCTGCTTGCAATCATTTGTATACATATGATGTTAGTGTTTTTTTCGCTCGGTCCCTTTTCTTGTAGTGGGGCCTGAAAGATTTAAGTTGCGTACCTTTGGTCCCACACAGGTCCAGCCTAGTTTTGAGTCGATGCCCCGCTGGTATACAGCCTTGAATTCAGCCAAGATTACAGAATAGTTGGCTTCCAAGACCTCAATGTCATGCCGATGAGCATCTCTTGGGAAGAAAGGAACACTTGGGACATCTGGCAGGAAGAAGAGATGAGGCTTCTGTATAGCAGAGTGATCGTTCAGATGGACCTGAAACGACAGCAAAAAGGCAATCAATAATTCACAATGTTTCCTTTCTCCGCCGTTTACCCTTCAAACAAAAAGCACTTCCAAATGAGGTGTTATGATGCGTTTACACGAGATTAAACATGCTTTGACAACATGTTCAATTCCATGCGATATAACATTAGATACACACGCACGGATTAGACTTGTACCTGCTCACGGAGGCTCTTATGAATGCGGCCCATGCCCACCCAACTGTAGCGCTTGGCATACTCTTGCAGGGCTGCGTACAGTTTCTTGGCTTCTGCAGATGCCTGAGCTGGGAACAAGGCATGACTCAGCACTGGGGTGAGGTATCCTTGTCCCTGCTCCTCATCCTCCTCAGTTTCCATGGAAATAAAGGGAGTAATCTGATCACTTCTCAACAGCTTGGATCGTGCACTACACTTGGTTCCAGCAAAGCTACCGCCACGGGACATAATAGACCGCCTTGAGCCCGACTTAAGCTTTCCGGCATGTGCATGACCTGGGATTGGCAGGTCGGAGCCCATCCGATAGCAGTGCCACAGGAAGAGGAGCAGCAGAGTCCACAGTAGGCCACTCAGGGAATGGACACCCAGCTCGACATACGGAGGCACGGGCAGCGTGTTCATTGAGTCCATCCTTTAAATGTGTGAGAATCTAAGATACTGAAACAGAAGCAGACCAAGAGTTTATGGCAATCCTTGTTAAAATGGCAAAGTGCAATGCAATCTTCTCAGACTAAACATCAGTAAAATACAAATTATATATATATTTTACTGGTCTGGAACAATTCCTTTGGTCACTCCAGACTTTAACATCCCAAACTAGTGGCCTTGAAGGTGCTGTTTCCAATAAGTGGTTGTTATTGTTTTTGTTAACCATAACATAAACAACAAGTGTTAGAGTTCTATACGACATCTTTTGGCTCGTGAAATCCTAACAGATCATTATAAGTGTCTCTTTTTGCCAACAAGCACAGCCTGAAAATAATATGGAGTGTCCCAAATTCAAACACAGCCCACTGGCCTCATTTATTTTCTTAACATTCATTATATTTTCAGGGTCACAGGAGGCGGAAACCTATCCCAGCATGCACTTAGTAGAAATGAGTGAAACAGAGTCATGAACATGTTGCAAGTGCTATCACGCAGCCACTAACCCTTTTGCTAAATGTCTCTGACTGCACGGTGTTATGTAAGCTCTGCTCATCGGACCTCTCTGAGCAGACTAGCTGTCGATCTAAAGATTTCACAGCAGGAAATATTCTGAAAGTCATGCAGAAGGCTTTCCATTTCACACTGTTGGTGGCCAGTTCAGATTCACATGTATGTGTTTCTTTCTTTAAAAATCTGCCTAAATGTATTATATCTAACTAAAGTAAATGATAAAACCCATATTAAATGTCGGTCTTGGTTGCTTATCTGCTTTACTTCCCAAAAGTTGTTCTCATCGCCGGGTCAACTTTGTCTCACTATGACTGTTTTTATTGGTAACATAGTCAATGAAATGCCTAAAGGTTGGAACATGGTGTCTCTGTCAATTTACTTCAGCTATAAAAGATGAATCTAAGCAATATTAAACATCACATGGTAGTAGTAAACAAATGAATTGTATGTCTATTCGAATGTAAAGTGAAAAACCAGATGCACATATATATAATATATATGTTGCATTCTGTTTCAATATATATATATATATATCGTATCAGCTACAACTGTTTATTTATAAATGACAATTTCAAAATAAGCAATAACAGAGCAGACCAAGTTATGTTCTGTGAGCATCATAGACACTGTGTGTGTGTGTGTTTTAAGTGGTAGGGCTCTTTCCTCTTAGGCTTTTCCCAACAAATTCGTGTTGTTGTAGTGCAATCAATTGCATTCTATGTGGTGATACTTCCTACAGGAAACACCTATAGGCTTACAGCATGCTAAAGATGTTTCACAAATTATGAACTAGGGGTCGTTTTTTATGTGCAATCGCTTCAAGCATTCATTTTTGTTACTTGCTCTGCTGCCAGCCCCCACAGCTCAGCTGGTTCATGTATAATGTCCGCATCACCATGTTAGCGCAAACATCCACCCATTACATAAACCGCGGCACACACGAATGTTCGGCCATGCAAAACCGTGTATGGCACATGCAGGCCTTTATATGAGCAAAATACACGATGTACCCCCTGCGTGCCGCCTCTTCACATCTCTGTCCTGATTACCTTGGTGCACCGTGCAGCGCTGTGTCGGACCCACTTCAGCACCGTGCTGGTGGACAGCTCCTCCAGCGCTCACTGACAAAATGTGGATATCTCCCGCGCGCCGCTGCAGTTACCGCGTGCATCCGCTAGGTCGCACCTGAAGCTTCACAACAAAGTGCCCTCACATCATAGCCAGAATGCGTTCAACCACACACGGTAACCAGCTAGGGCTTCTCACCAGTACAAACCCCGCCGTGTTCTCGGGGCCTAAAGCAAACATGATACAGTTGCAAGAAGAAGAACAACTAAACGCAGCCTGGAAGAGAAAGGTAAGCGACTGGCAGCTTTACAATGTAGCTGAGACGGTTAGTCTGTCTCACAGTCGGTGGTGACTGATGCCAAAAATCGTCCTCCGCACAAAGAGGGCCGGGGGAGGTGCGAGTGATTGCTGCCTGGTTTAGCCCCATAATTTTGTCACACAGACCATGCTGGCATTTTCACCAGAGGAAACGCCTCGAATACAGCGGAGGTGGATTTTTGAACACTACCATTGACAGGTTAATAATAGAATTAGGTTTATAGTCATCCTGCGGTTTGGATTTGGAATAGCGCATTTTTAGGGTATGTTACTTGCAGATTTGGATGTGAAAATGCAGGGGGAGGATGAGTATTTAACATTACACACGTGCGATATGTACTGGCCTTTTTTGTCATTTTCGTTTCTATACCGTATGGAATGAAGATTGGGTATTTTTCAGATTGATGGTGCTGGGATTTACAGTTTCACATCCCATTGATCCTTCAATTCGAGACATTGTGGCCTGTGGGATGTAAACATATGCCCTGTACCCGAATGGCGAGTGTTTTCAGTGATATGACAAAAATGTGCAGTCCAGTCAGCAATGATTATTTCCCATAGCCCCTTGCAGTTATTATATTCTAACCAAAAAGCGATTACATCATAGAAAAATATGCAGTTACTTTCTATAACAATATGAAACATAATTTGCTAACCTGCTACAAAACTGCTCTCTTTAACCTTCTCAGGTGATTCAGTTTCATATCCGAAGCCATGGGTTCACACGCTTTGCTGTATGATGCTTCTGTCACCATGATCCACCTAGTTTCAGGTAAGTGTGTGTGTGTGTGTGTGTGTGTGTGTGTGTGTGTGTGTGTGTGTGTGTGTTGTGTGTGTGTGTGTGTGTGTGTGTGTTGTGTGTGGTGTGTGTGTTTCTCTAAGCATGCACTTTTTGATGTTCCTCTGCAACCATTGACTATTGCATTAACATCTTCAAAAAAAGCTATATTGCTTTGCGTGTAGGTAGTCTTGTTCCTGGCTATTTCAGGTATGAGCTTCATGACTCTGAGCCGACACCCCACCAACACCCACCCCCGAGTCTTACCCTCTGGGTGACCTGATCCATGCTGCCCTGCAGAGTAAGGAATACTTAGCAGAGGCTTCTGCAAGCACAGGTACATTAACACAGGCCTTTACTGATTTATAGGCTTAAGGCAACTGAAGCACTACATGGTTGAGTGCTGATTGCAAATGACTCACATTGAATTGAACCTTGGGACTCTGCAGGTACTACCACCAACCCGACTCAGGCGGTGCCAGGGTTAGGGCAGAGCGAGTCCACAGCGACAGTCATATCCCCGGGGCTGCTCACCACAGCCTTCAGCTCCTCTTCTGCTGCCAGCCAGACAGGATCAAGGACTCCCATGTCCTCGCTGCCCATGGAGGAGGAGACAACCACCACTCTGATCACCACCACCACCATAACCACAATGCACATGCCAGGTACCTGCATAACACTTTGCTTCCCCTATATGTGTTGTTTCATTCAGGCTAGGTTTCTGTTACAGCAATGTTAAAACAGAAATGTAGCTACATTTCCAAATCAAAAGCTGCTAAGATTGTTGTTGTGCCGGCAATGTCAGCAAATTCCCAGCTGAATCTCTTTGGCTTCCCATCACAATTACAATTAACTTCTCTTCTCTACAAACACCCTTTTTGAGAACATTTTTTTTAAAAAGTGGTTGACAGTCATGTTACAAGTCATAAAATATATATATGACGAAATATCAAGTTAAAGAAGAGATGTACATGTACTTTAGTTGGTTTAAGATCTTAACACTTAATTCAAAAGTTTAGGATAGCTATGGAGGTCAAACATAGCTACATGTAAGGTACATTTTGTAACACCATAAGTATTCTGTATATGATTTACTTCTTAGCTTACTAAAACGACATATTTTCGACGATTTCTGTTTGGTAACAACCTGAGTTGAGAACATTTTAAGGGCAGACTTTCTTGTCTGTGCTTCTGGTCTTATTACTACAGAATAATGTGCTTGCTACTCTTCAGGATGCCCGCTAAAAAAGATTGAAAAAACACAAAGAGTTGATAGTACATGATGATTGATAGTAAACACTGATCAATGATGAAGATGATGAGGTGTATAGTCTGAAAAACTCCCTTTGCTCCCCTGTGTCTCCTCCATAACCTAAAGCAAGAAAGCAGATTGGCCTACCAGCCTGATCTGCTGTGAGATGACTGAGCCAGATCAGTAAAACCTCATACATGGACATGTGCATCTTTGACTTGGCACTGCAAATACACACACATATGGTGAAACTAGAAAATACAGCATAATGGGATCAACCTTTGCCATTAAATCCAAATAATCCAGGAGCTCTATAGCATGCGAGTGGCCGACTGACTTATGATAACATGAATTTAACTCTAAATAAAATGCCCCCATAGCTTCCTGTTCCTTTGAATAGAAATCCTCAACGCTATTTAATGGCTTACGTTAAGTCTATATCCGTCAAAAGGGACGAATGTTCGGAGATATTCAGATGGCTCAAAAAAAAATGTTGATGCATTGAAACCAGTGAGATCTGAAGCTTACAAGGGTGGCTTGGACTCTATTTGGCTATCATCACTTGATATATTTCCTATTAGTGTCCTCTCTGTTCACATCTTCACATGAAAAGTTCTGAATCAAGATTGACAATAAAGTCTTACTATGTATTTTCATTGTTATTGTAACAACTTAGACTTAATCAGTGAGCATGAAAACAACTTACTGGCTGAGTAAAGTGCAACCATGTGAAGCCATTAATACTAATATCAGCACTGCTACTGTCCTAATATCATAGGGAGAATTAATTTTGACAAATCAGTCAGTCAACAATGCCATCATGACAAGAATAATAATAGGAAGGGTGAGGAACATCATCGTTGTCAGAAATGGAGTTAAGTATGACAACACTACGGCGCTTCTGTGGTGCTCTCACTGCAGGTGGAGGAGAGCTGTTAGTCATTCTGCTCATGAAATAAAGACACCATTACATTAACGGCTGCAATAGAGGGTTGAAGGAAATGCGGGTGGGTCAGCTGGCTAACACAGAATGTGGGGAGAGAATGTTCATTTGAAAATGAATGATCACTGGTTGTGTGTGTGTGTGTGTGTGTGTGTGTGTGTGTGTGTGTGTGTGTGTGTGTGTGTGTGTGTGTGGTGTGTGTGTGTGTGTGTGTGTGTGTGTGTGTGTGTGGTGTGTGTGTGTGTGTGTGTGTGGGTGTTGTGTGTGTGTGTGTGTGTGTGTGTTGGTGTGTGTGTGTGTGTGTGTGTTTGTGTGTGTGTGTGTGTGTGTGTGGTGTGTGTGTTGTGTGTGTGTGTGTGTGTGTGTGTGTGTGTGTGTTTCCCTTATTAATACTAGGAATTGTCATTTTGACCCCTTATAAAACGCTCTCTAGGTACTCTAGTAGCAAGGTAATATCTCAAACCTGTTAACACCAAATGAAAGGATTATGTAAAGCTACCGCTGCTTTTCTAAAGGTAACAATGTAGATTTGTACCTTTAGAAAGAGCAATGCTAGCTGTTATCCACTGTGTTCAAAGTATTTCCTGCCCTGAAGTATAGGGTCCATCTTCACATATAATTCCTCGGCAAGAAGTGAATCAGCAAATGTCCAACTTTGACTTAAAGTTTTCTGAAAAAAAACGTGTAGTGTTTCCTTTTCATCTTAAACATGTGAAGAGAGGTGCTGCTTCTAAGTGGCCAGAATTTTCATTTACCTCCGACGTGTAACACTAAGTATTGTCAACTTTTGAATCTGTCATTTTACTGAAATATCTCAAGTTTGTTTTTCCCTTCTTTGCTGTCACTTTTGTTCTGTGTCCGTTCATTGTTAGCCAAATGGACTGAAAAACCCTTTCCTCTCTAGAGGCCATTTGTATTACAAGAGGTGGTCAATCATTTGATCGTATCGAAGCATTGCAACAGTTTCATTCATGCGGTCAATACAATAATTGAATGCGTAGACATCCAATATACCACAGCTTCACCCAAGGCAGTACTCAGGCTACTGGTTTTGAATTACATTTAATTTACCCAATTGAATCGGTGTGCTGTTACACAGAACTGCATGCTGCCACTTAGCGAACATAAGCCAGGTTGTTATTATGAGGCTCGGATTGTATTTCCCTGTCCTACAGGCCCAACGACGAGGCAGACATTTTCGGCTCCCTACCTCACACAGATCATGTCGATACATTGGACAAATATGTACATGTATTTTTTTTTTATAAGCAGAGCTACTCCACAATATCTAGACAGAATGGACCAGTCTAAAGGCCAAAGGTCTAAAGGCTACTCCACTCGACTTTAGTGGTTTGCTTGTCTTCATTTTCTCTCTTGTGCACTGATTTGCTAAAGCTGAATAATTCAAGACTCATATTTTTCGCCGGGCTCTGACACGTGTCCACACACGGAATCGGCCAAAAGCAAAGGCTGACTAGTGCCAACGCTGCGGGACACACCGCAAAAACTACGTTGCGGTTAGCCGACTCACTTAAAGCATTTTAGCATCAAAATGGCCCCAGGATTCAGCCATGTGGCTTTTTTCAATAAAGAGAAATTGGTCTGTGTAGTAGGCCTTTCTGGTCATTTATTTTAAAACCATTTGATCAAACAGTCCTACCATACATGCCCTGCAAGCCCTTTTGTTACAACTTTCATAAAACGTCAAATGGTTCAGAGCAGGATAACAGAAATGCTATCACCAAACTTGCTTTGTGGACATGTTTTCAGCCGGGTTTGAGATTTTCCTGGAGCTCAGTGATGTTTCCCTTTATCCAGTTGGTACTGTGATGATTTGCACAGTAGAGGTGTGTCACTGGCTACCCAGCAGTGCACGTCATCTACTATGATGTGTTTTTTCATGCATCGGAGTCGGAGTCAGCTGAGGCCAGGGGCATTATGTTTTTGGCTATCTGTCAGTAA